GGGCCCAGGCACAACCTCGGCTGGCACGTAATGCACCTCGGACCGGGAACCTCGGTCTCGCGGCGCGGGCGACGTTCTCCGACCACCCTTGCTTTTGCCTGGGAGCACGGTGCTGCCTGCTGCCCCCATGCTCTCTTTCTCGGCCTTGGTGACAGACACTTTCACGCCACCCTCGGACACACCGGGCTCCACGTGCTCCTCGTACTCCCAGTCATCATCGTCGAGCTTGCCGGACCATGTCAGCCCAGCCGCTTCATCTAAGCTTCACAATGCGAACACAGTTTGCCTTCACTAAACTTGCAAGTAAAGTGGCCTTCACTAAGTCAATGCTGCCATTAATAAGTGCTGCTAAGTCTCTGAACGCGTGCATCTTCTCTCGGACGTGGGCCGTTACCACCTTGTCCGGGTGCCACGAGCGTTCCTTTCGGTCCTGACTCTTCTTGGACTTGAACTGCTCCGGGAACCTCTTCTCGAGCACAAATCCTTGGCGGGGTTGGCCAAATATCATAGCTAACACCAAAATGTCACTGCATTGTTGCTTTAAATGCCCAAGCGGCTGATAAGCTTCGGGGAGATGGCGTGGGCATGCTCAGCTCCACTCGGGCTGTGCATCAGAAGCGCCAGGAGGCCCTTAGGGACACTGGCACGGCAGCCGAAGTTGAAAGTTGCTGCTACATAGCATACTAACTCAATACACTGGCAAAGTCAAGTGGCACAGTAGGCCATGTCGTCGCATCGACACACACGGAGCAAGTAGTACAAATGCGGCGCGAGCTCGTTCAGCTTCTCGGTCACCTGGCAGGGAACGACGGCTTCCGGTTGAAGCCCCGCGATCTAAAATGCATCAGTCAGAATCGGGGCCTTCTCGAGCGGGACACTCTCGTCAAGGGCGTGGAAGCCGGCACTGGCACCCTGACCCTGACCCTGACTGTGGCTCGGTGCTGGGCCAGCCATGTAGGCAGCTCTGGCTTCAGGTCCCAGTTTTGCGAGTGCCTCAGGCAGAGACTCATGCACTCGGTCAATGTTTGAATCTGACTCTCAGAAACACTCTCATGCTAGGGCCTCGGGGTTGTTGATCAGAAGTCCGTACTGGAACCCTAGGGTGTCGTAGTCTGGGTGACCACGGGTCGGCATGAAAGTTCTGAAGCTGAAAGCTCGGGCCGAAACTGCATTTTTCACAAACAACTCAACTCTGCTGTCAAACTTGACCAGACTCATGCGCTCAAATCTAACTTTGCAGCAGGCTAGGAAGCACCGGGCGCCTCATCGTCGTGCCGCGGAGACTCGAGCTCCAGCACTGGGTCAAGAACAGCACCTGGGCGACGCATGTCCATGCGGGCTACTCGAGCTGGACTTGCAACACAGCCACCTTGCTCTGCGGATGATATCTTACTTTTTCGACCGACAAAGCCGGCTGGCATCGCTGGACTGCAAAAAGACTCGGTCTCCAGCAGCGCGTGGAAGACAGACTCTCGTACTTAAACATTCAACTCGTACGAGGCGGGGCTGCACCAGCTTTCGCTGCAGCTTTTTGACCCTCGGTCATGTGGCTCTGCGTCCTCAACGGTATTCAGACTGGGCAAAACCAAGGCAAACAAACCGTCTGATTCAATTCAACAACAGCAATAATTAGAAGCCCAGCTGCGGGGCGGTTCTCGGATGTAATATGGATTCCCGGGCAACTGATTTTGCCACCACATCAAGAGTTGGTGAGCTTCGGCTGCCGCTGATGCCATTTCCTGGCGGGTAAGGCTTAAAGGCTGCTCGGTCTGTTGCTTAGACTCAGACTGAAACATAAAACTATCTAAAACCTCCAGTGCTGCTAGAGCCAAAGCACTCGGATGCATCTCATGAGTTCTTTGATGTCTGTCGACTTCGAGTACCGAGTCTTGTAGTCCACGGACGGAAAAGTGAGCTTGGCCAATCCATACTCCTGCCAATGACTCGGACGATTCCTCCTGAACCACCCCAAGGCCTGGCTGTAATCGTCCAGCAAGGTGTTGAGCTCCTAAGTTAGAAGACATGTCAGACGTTCAGGAAATTTTGCCATGCTGGACCATGCAATTGCTAGCCAAGTCTCGCACATGTCCACGATCATCTGGTACTGCAGGTTGGACAGTGGCACGTCCTTCTTGGCTTGGGCCTGCACGTGCTCTTTGGCCTCAGTTTGGCAGCAGGACTCGGCATCACAGATGCCCCAAGCAAACTGCACAGCTCGGACTTCGCCATCATTGAACTAAATTCGAACAGGTCACCTGCTGGGCCAATTTCTGCCTCTTCTTGTGCTCGCGCTGCGCCTTGCCCGGGTTCTTCGACTTCTTCTTGACCTCCGTCGCGGCACTCGAGGACGGCTCGGGCTTGGCCTTGGGCTCGGGGTTGGTCTTGGGCTTGGCTGGCTTGTACTTGGGCATCCCCTTCGGCTCGGGCTGATCCTGTCAGTCAAGCGACTCACTCTCGACCGGTAAATATTAAGCAATGTGAATCTGAATGACTCAGTTTCACCTTGCTGCTGCATTGCACTCGATTGGACCCAGCCTTCTTCTCGGGCAAGGAGCCATTGTCGGGAAGCCCGGACCACCACTCATCGGACGGGCTCCAATCATTGGACGAGGACCACCACTCGGACCAACTTCCGCCACGCTCGGACCACTTTCCATCCCGCTCAGACTGAGACTGAGACATGGCAAAATAATGGGCTAATGGCTTACTTCAGACATGCTTCAAACTCGGACATACTTCAAACTTGACTTCATCGTGCTACTGGCACTCTGTCATGGCTGTGGTGTGCATGGGTTCTGCTGGCAGTGGCCTTGAGCCCTGACTTTCGACTAGGAGGTTTCCAACTGCAAACACAAGCACGCCAATGACAACTGTGTGCTGAACTGGGCTTGGCACATCCTCGGGCCAGAAGGCTCGATCGCTGTGGCCAGCATGGACCTGGGTTGATAGAAATAACATCTCGGGTTGGAGCCTACGTCTCGGGAACTCAATGTCAAGGCACTCAGACAGTCATTCCTACTTTCCTCAAACTCCGAATGCCCGGGTTTAGGGTTTAGGGTTTAGGGTTTCGGGTTTAGGCTCGGTCTCGGGCTCCCGCGGATGCCTCGGGCAAGCTGAGGCCCCGGGCGAACTCGTAGCACTAAATTTTTAAACCACATGGCACGTGGCACATGACATCCAAGGCCCTCGGACTCGGGCCCTGAATGAGCATGAACCTTTTTGTGATGCTGTGACAAACAGTGCACTTGGGCACTGTCTGAGCACAGCATCGGCTTGGAGCTGTGACGAACACGCCCAAAACTCGGGCATGTTCGAGCACAGCTCCCCCACCTCGGACTCGGCCAGCGAAGTCGCCGTTGTCGAAAGCTCAGGGGGTTTGCTGGGGTTTCGGGCTTACTCGGGCTTAAACTTAATATCGGGCTTAGAGTCTCGGGCTTAAAGGTCCGGGTTTAGGGTACAGGGTCCCTGTGGGCTTATTAGGGGTTGGGGGTTGAAGTCTTGGTCTCGGGCCCACCCACCCCCCACTAAACCCTACAACAAACACACAGAGGCCCCGGCATGGTTGCTTCAACGACGATGGTGTGGTTCGGCAGAACATGGACGAAAGGAAGGGTGGTTAGGTCCCAAAACTCGGACTCGGCCGGGCACTTGGTTAAGTGAGACTCGGGCTTTCAAACTCAAAACTGGTTAAGTGGGACTCGGGCTTTGGGGATTTTGCACATGGCGACTGGTCCTGAGACTCAAACCTCGGGCCTAAACAAGGCAGACACAAATACCATTATATCTATATCATATTAATATAAATTGTATTATGATTAGTCTAATAATATATAGTATACACAACTGGAGCAAAAAAAGCTTAGAACCTGCCAAGAGTGGGCAAGTGGGGTTTAGGGTTTACTTCTGAGGGCTGCAAGGCTACAATCTTAAACCCTAGAACCTCAAAAAACCTAAAAGCCCTGAAGCCCCAAGGCTTCGGAGGGGGGGGGGGGGGGGGGGGGGGGGAATTGGAGTTTTAGGGTTTCAGTCAGGATGTTCATTGGGGGCTTAAGTTTCGCGATCAAGGGCCTGAGTCTTTGGGGCTTGGGGGCTTGGGGCAGCTTTTGGGTTAGGGTTTGGGGTTTAGGAATTGGGGTTTAGGGATTTGGGGTTTAGGGTTTAGGGTTTGGCATTTAGGGTTTGGGGTTAAGGGTTTTGGGGGGTTTGGGGAGGAAGGGCGCTCAGCGGGCTCGAAGCACAAGCGACTCTGTGCCAAGGCCAGTAGCAACCCTTCAGCAGATAAACAAGCCAAAACCCTCAAACCTTAAAACCTAACCCCAACTTCCAAACCAACAAAACCCCAAACCCTAACCCTAAGCCCGAAACCCTGCGCTGCTGTTAAGGCGAGGTTCCCAAGAAACCCTCATACCAGGCTTCTAAATGGGTTTAGGGTTTAGGGTTTAGGGTTTAGGGTTTAGGGTTTAGGGTTTAGGGTTGGAAGGGCACTAAGCACTAGGGGTTCCAAGGGGGACTCCGGGACTCATTCTACAAGGGGTACACCGGGTCTAGGGTTTAGGGTTTAGGGTTTGGGGTTTAGGGTTTAGGGTTTCGGGTTTCGGGTTTCGGGTTTAGGGTTTAGGGTTTAGGGTTTAGGGTTTCCATTATACTAACAATCCTTAGTAACGGATTCCAGTACCCCTTATTATTATAATCCCTGTTAAGGACTGTTAGTATACAGGGGAACATCCCAGGTATATGGAGAAGCTGGCTTGCAGTCCCAACCAGCGAACGCCCACTATGCACCCCCAAAGGCTCGAAGCCCTCGGAAGCCGAACGACCAAAAGCCAGGCCCTTGATACTTCTTATGATACTTCTTACATGCCCTAACCGCCGCTGGTCCCTAAAGGGTTTAGGCTTTAGGGTTTAGGGTTTAGGGTTTAGGGTTTACTTAGCCCTAGATCACCCTAAATCTTAAGCCCTAAGCTCAGGGCCTCAAACTGGAAGCTGGTGACGATGGGGCGCGTGTAAGCTCTGAGTCGTGCAAACACCTGAATGGTGACCGGTGGTTTCTATATGAAAATCAGGGGTACCTGCTTACAAGAATGCTTGTAGTACTTTGGGGGGCACAACATTTCAGGATGATCATTCCGAGTGCATCGATGGGGATATCTTAACAAGAATCTGTCTGTGGCTGGGCTGATGCAAACGTGCCCGCCTTGTACAAACATGCGCAGCCCGAAGGAGAATTACAAAAAATCACCTTACTAAGTGATTGTTGGGTTCCAACGTCATGTTTGTCAAGCGAGCGGGGTTAGTAAACACACGGCTTGGCTGGGTTGGCCGTGGCTGGGCTTGCTAATGCAAAACACGGCTTGGTTGTTGGGCGCAGCCCCCCATTTGCAACCACCTTGGTGGTGGAAATACCGGGGAGCAGAAGAAATGTCAGGTCAGTCTACGCTCGGGAACCTGGAGAAAACGAGAAAGTGGACGAGGCTAAGCGCTTGGAACGGCTTCTGGGGCACGGAGAGAAGAACAAAAGACGTGCCCTAAACCCGAGACCCCATGGGGATTGTTTTTTATTAACCCTAAACCCTAAACCCTAAACTAACCCTAAACCCTAAACCCTAAACCCTAAACCCTACGGTGGAGTTCATGGTATGGGTCCTTATGGGCGGGTTTTGAGGCTTGGGGGGCACCCGCAAGAGCTTCAGGGGTTGGAAAGACATTGGTGAGAGCAGGATATCAAGCGTTCTAGGGCTTGAGAGTGCTAACTACGGTCACTTCTCTCAAGTCTGTTCTCTTTAGGGGTCCTTGCTTTAAGGCGGCCCGATTACTTCGGGTACTCAACAAGGGACCAACTTTTGAGAACTCACCTGATAGATTTCACGAATTTGGGGTGTAGGGGTTCAGGGTTGCCTGAAACCTGAACCCAACCCCGCATGTGGACTTTTGAGACATAGGAGGCCAAGGTTAGAGGGGGGTTTAGGGTCTGGGGTTTGGGGTTTAGGGTTTAGGGTGAAGGGCGTGGAGTGGAAGGCGACCAGGACAGAGTCCGGTCAGAAAAAAGCGGTATCACCTCCGGCCCGAAAGCTTAAGGATAAAACCGCAAAAAAACGAAAAGAGAGAGAGAGAGGGGCTTTTTAAGGAACAAAAACAAGGTCCGCGGCAAAGGTAGAAAAAACCGCAGAGGATGGCTCTGCAATGGAGCGGGGCAGCGCCAAAGGTAGAAGACCCGCAGAGGATGGCTCTGCAATGGCAGAAAGACCCGCAGAGGATGGCTCTGCAATGGAGTGGGGCGGCGCCAGCGGTCGAAGGACCCGCAGAGGATGGCTCTGCAATGGAGGCCGCGTCGGCAAAAAAAAACCGCTGAGAGTCAGCAAAAAAAAAACGCAGAGGATGGCTCTGAAATGGCAGAAGGACCCGCAGAGGATGGCTCTGCAATGTAGTGGGGCGGCGCCAGCGGTAGAAGGACCCGCAGAGGATGGCTCTGCAATGGAGGCCGCGTCGGCAAAAAAAAACCGCTGAGAGTCAGCAAAAAAAAAAACGCAGAGGATGGCTCTGCAATGGCAGAAGGACCCGCAGAGGATGGCTCTGCAATGTAGTGGGGCGGCGCCAGCGGGTTTAGGGTGAAGGGCTCGGGCTTCGGAGAGAATGGTCAATCCACGCGAGATGCACGGAAAGAGCTCATAGGGTGTCTAGGGGTTTAGCCCCAAACCCTGAACCCTAAACCCCCTAAAAGGGCTTCCAAACCCTAAAACCTGAACCCTAAACCCAAACCCTAAACCCTCAAACCTAAACCCTAAACCCTAAACCCTAAACCCTAAACCCTAAACCCTAAACCCTAAACCCTAAACCCTAAACCCTAAACCCTAAACCCTAAACCCTAACTTAGGCCTTCAGGGGTTGGGTTGGGTTGCAGAAAAGGACAAAAGGCAGCCAAGAGGCATTCCATCTCGCATCGAGGGAGCCGAAGGACTGGCAAGGTGACTGTTAGGCTTTAGTCGTTTAGGGTTTAGTGTTTAGGGTTTAGGGGCTTAGGGTTTAGGGTTTAGGGTTTAAGGGTTTAGGGGTTTAGGGGTTTAGGGGTTTAGGGGTTTAGGGGTTTAGGGGTTTAGGGGTTTAGGGGTTTAGGGGTTTAGGGGTTTAGGGGTTTAGGGGTTTAGGGGTTTAGGGGTTTAGGGGTTTAGGGGTTTAGGGGTTTAGGGTTTAGGGGTTTAGGGTTTTAGGGGTTTAGGGGTTTCAGGGGTTTTAGGGGTTTAGGGGGTTTAGGGGGTTTAGGGGGTTTAGGGGGTTTAGGGGGTTTAGGGGGTTTAGGGGGTTTAGGGGGTTTAGGGGGTTTAGGGGGTTTAGGGGGTTTAGGGGGTTTGGGGGGTTTAGGGGGTTTAGGGGGTTTAGGGGGTTTAGGGGGTTTAGGGGGTTTAGGGGGTTTAGGGGGTTCAGGGGCTTTAGGGGGTTCAGGGGCTTTAGGGGGTTAGTGGGTTTGGCGGTTCAGGCGTTTAGGGGGCTGGGATTCAAGGTTTACGCGTTTTAGGGGTTTAGGGTTTGAGGGTTTAGGGGTCTGGTGGGCTGGGGTTCAAGTATTAGGGGCTTGGGATCTAGGGTTTATAGGGTTCGGGGATTCGGTAAGGATCAAGGTTCGAGTGAGGGATGCTTCAGTAGAGGTCGGTTTAGGGTTTAGGGTTTAGGGTTTAGGGTTTAGGGTTTAGGGTTTAGGGTTTAGGGTTTAGGGTTTAGGGTTTAGGGTTTAGGGTTTAGGGTTTAGGGTTTAGGGTTTAGGACTGAACGTAGCCCCTCAACCTGCACGCCTGAATGCCTCAAACCCTGCACCCGAACCCGGCTGGACCCTGCACCCGAAACCCGAAACCCTAAACCCTAAACCCTAAACCCTAAACCCTAAACCCTAAACCCTAAACCCTAAACCCTAAACTTGTATAACTAGGGATTGTAGGGTCTGCAGGGGTCTGCCTTGACGAAAGAAACCCGACATCCTGCATGACTCTTGTAAGTTGTCGTCGTCAAGCCACTTCGAGCCTATCAACAAACACAAGGCTTGGGGATCTAAAGGTATGTGCATCTGGGATGCTTCAACCTAACCTGTAAACCCCTCAAAACCCTAAATCCCGAAACAACCCTAGCAACCTTAAAATCCTAAAAACCCTATGAAGCCTACACTGTAAAACCCTAAAGACCCCTAAACCCCACTGCCTTCTGCTGGTTGAACAACACCTGCGAGACAGCGCCGCCAGGCATTCGCCTGGTCGTCCCTGGTCAGGTCCAGGGTCCAGGGGTTTAGGGTTTAGGGTGTAGGGTTTAGGGTTTAGGATTTAGGGTTTAGGGCAGGGTCCAGTGTCCTGGTTTCAGGGTTCAGGGTTTAAGGCTTAGAGCCCTGAACTCTCAAAACCTTTAGCTCTGCCAACTTCTGAAGCTGGAGCCCTGAACCCTCAAGCAACCCTTTAAACCCAAGCGCGCTCCTAAACCCTGAGCCCTAAACCTTGAAACCTAAATTGTCTGAACACGAAACCCTGACCTCTTACACATGTAAGCCTGGCATGCGGTGAATTTGTGCCGAGGCCTCGGACCCTAAACCCTAGACCACTGAAGGCTCAAGAGTTTTTACCGAACTAGGGCTTAGGGTTTGGGGTTTAGGGCAGCAGCCTTAGGTGTCCTGGTCAACTAATGGTTGAGGCTGGTCGGAAACGCTGGGCCAACCAGCCCAAGATTGTGCTGCAAGAGACTGGCCCTATGCACCCTAGAACCCGCAAGACCCTGAAGCCCTAAAAGCATATTGCTTCCTGCTGGGTTTAGGGTTTAGGGTTTCAGGTTTATAGGGTTGAGGGTTTCGGGTTTAGGCAATCGGGCTTCAGGTTGACGGGGGTTAGGGTTTGTGGATGTTTGGGGTTCAGGGCTTCAGGGTTTAGAGTTTCAGATTCATGGGGGGCTTTGGGTTTTTCTGGCTTCTGAAAAGGCTCTTCTCCGCTCTGCACCCGCACTCCTAATCCCCTATCCCCTAAACCCTCAACCCTAAACCCTCTCCCCCCCCCCCCCACGACCCCAACCCCACCCCCCCCCCCCCCCCCAAAAAAAAATTTCCAAAACCAGTCTCCGAGGTTGAAGAGTGACTGGGGTGCAAAGATGGAGTGAGATCACCCCTAAAACCTGGGGGATTTAGGGCTTAAACCTTTTTGGGCTTATAGAAACAACCTGAAACATTTAGGAGTTATAGGGTTCTAGGGTAGTTTAGGGCTACACCCCAAAACCCTAAACCTGAACGACAAGGCCTGTTTCAGGGTCTTTACGGTTACTAAGGCTGGTCCGCAGCTTCAAAAATCGCGGTTCCACAAATCCGAAAAAGAAGCCTTTAACCCTAATCCCAAACCCCTAAACCCAAAGCCATTAACGTTAAACCCTAACCCCTAACCCCTAACCCTAAACCCTGAACCCTAAACTACTCTCGGGGCTGATAGGGTTTATGGTTTAGGGTTTTGGGTGTAGGGTTCAGGGCTTATACGGTTTAGGGTTTAGGGTTTAGGGTTTAGGCTTTCTTCAGGGCCTCGCGTTTTGCGCGAGGATGCGGCTGCCAATTGCCCACCAAGCCTCTTTCCACGACCTGGGTGGCCACGCGATCCGAGACCCAACTCTAAACCCGCAACCCGGTTAGGGTTTAGGGTTTAGGGTTTAGGGTTTAGGGTTTAGGGTTTAGGGTTTAGGGTTTAGGGTTTAGGGTTTAGGGTTTAGGGTTTAGGGTTTAGGGTTTAGGGTTTAGGGTTTAGGGTTTAGGGTTTAGGGTTTAGGGTGTAGCACGGGTCAGCTGAACGCAATAGTATGCAGACATGCCCACCCCAAGGCCACCCTATCACAACTCAAAACGAAACCAAGCCGGAACCAGCCAAACCAAAGCCAGCCCACCTTCAAACACTTCTGCGTCCACCACTGTACATCGGACTAATACCTTATATGCTTTCCGATGTCATGGAGCTTGCCTATGAAGATGCCCTGCTGCCAGGTAACATTTAAGAAGATGTTTTGAGAAAGTCATTAATTGGAATTAGGAGTTTTGGGGAGAGGTTTCGCGTTGGGGGGCATCCTCGGCCGCAGGGCCTTTTCATTGTCTCTATTCTCTTTGCCGGAGTGTCGAGAATGTACGGCGAAAGGCCTGTTGTTCTAAAGATACCGCGCGAAGGTCATGTCTGGAAGCTTCGAGAGAAAAACTAGGTTTGACGTTGAGGCGAAGGGCCTGTTGTTCTAAAGAGAAATCGTAGAAGGTCATGTCTAGAGGCTTGGAGAGAAGAAAACCCTGTGTGTATTCGGGGAAGTCTCGGCCGGAGGGCCTGCGCATTGTTTCTATTCGCTTTGCCGGAGTGTCAAGGCTGCGTGGCAAAAGACCTGTTGTTCTAAAGATACCGTGTGAAGGTCATGTCTAGAAGCTTCCGAGAGAAAAGCCGGGTTTGACGTTGGGGGAAGGCCCGGGCCCGAAGGGTATCCTGTAAAGGCCCCGGCCCCCCCCCCCCCAAATTGACTTCGGAAGGAAGGGAAAGGCCCGGCCAGCCCCTAAAAGGGGGGGTATCCGGTTTGAAGTCCCGGGCAGCCTCCCCTCAATTATCCGGCAATTGAATTCGGATAGGGGGGGTATCCTGGTCAAAGGCCCGGCAGCCCCCAAATTGACTTCGGATAGGGGGGGGGGGGTATCCGTTTTAAAGGCCCGGGGCCCCCCCACAATTGAATTCGGATAGGGGGTCCCCCCCGCAATTTTCGGATAGGGGGGGGGTATCCTGGTTAAAGGCCCGGGCAGCCCCCAAATTGACTTCGGATAGGGGGGGGGGGGGGGGTTAGGGCTTACAGTTTAAGAACCCCAAAACCCACTTCTTTTGTAGGTGCTGAGTACAAATCCCTGATAGGAATCTTAGGAGACCACTCAAAGGTAGTCTTTGGGTCCTGGAGGTCTAGATCCAAAACCCTCAAGCGCCCAAACCCAAAGTTGCTGGATCCACAGCTAAAATACTCTCAATTTAGGGTTTAAACGGTTTAGGGGTTAGGGTTTCGGTTTAGGCTTAGGGCTACAAACAGGGTTGTTCAGAATCCCCCTTATAGGGGCCATTCTTATGTTTATGTGGCTTTGGCCACTAAAAAAACCCTAAAGCTCAGAACACCTTATAGGCAGCTTTTTATGTTCGAGTTTAGCCTCTGGGCTTCCGGCTTAGGGCTAAGATCCCTGAGCTCCCTGACAAAACCTTGCAGGTGTTAAGATTTTGAAATTAAAGCGGATGCGTCTCTTGACTGGGCGGGATGGTGTCGGCTTGGTTCAGCATCGCGACTGTAGTCGCAATCTGCGACTGGGGGCGGGGGGGTTCCGGCCGTCTGCATGATCATGCGCCTGGCAATAGGAGCCCGTTTGTTGAGTTGAGGTGTCTCACTGTGCTTCGTCGCGACCCAGTCCACGTGTGAGCACGGTCGAGGGAGTGGGTTGTGTTGTCAAGGAGTTCACAATGTCGAGCCCCCTACACCCTAAGGGCCCCTTAAGCCTTAAAACCCAAGACCCTAAAACCCTAAAACCCTAACACCCGAACACCCTAAAGCCCTAAAACCCAAAAACCCTTAAACCCTAATGTCGTAAAATCCTAGAACCTACAAATCCTAAAAGCCTAAAAAGCCTAAAACCCGAAAAAGCCTGAAACCCCAAAATACCTAAAAGCCTCACACCAGCAAGCAGGTGAACATTCACCCGATGAGTTCCTTCGATCATCCTCAACCCTAAGCCCTAAACCCCAAAGCCTAAACCCTAAACCCTACACCCTACACCCTAAACCCTAAACCCGAAACCCCAAACCCCAAACCCGAAACTCTAAACCCAGCCCACCTAATCCTGCAACCCTTCAAGTCAGGGTTAGGGCTTTGGGCTTTGGGCCATTGCCGGCTTAGAGGGTCTAGGGTTCAGTGTCTAGGGTTTCGGGTTTATAGCCATTAAGTTTATTAAGGGCTTGGAGGGTTTTGGGATTTAGGACCATCTAGGGCCTAGGGCTTAGGGCCATTTGGGGCTTAGAGGGTTGTGGGGCTTAGGGCTTAGGGCCATGTAGGGCTTCCAGCGTAGGGCATAGGGCCATGTAGGGGTAGGGCTTAGGGTCATGTAGGGCTTAGGGTTTGGGGCTTGGGATAGGGTCTAGAGAAAACCGATCTCAGTTTGACAACTTGAAGAGGCTGCATAGCAAGTCAGGAGCGTGCGACAGAACCCTGAGATAGTCTCAAAACAGCCATCGCACCATTCATTGTTTGGGGGGGTTAAGCAACATGGCCTGAAACAAGATACTCTGGACTGAAATCCTATCTAACCCCCGCAGTGGGAACTTCGGGGTCGGGGTTTAAGGTTTAATCGGAGCTTGCAAGCAACACCCAAACTTCAATCCCCTCGCACATCCAAGAACCGGCTATTGCTGTGCACGCGGCTTTGCGACAGTGTTCCAGGCGTAACGGTTCGCCTGAAGAAGCAGAGGGTGAACTCGAGATACCAATACTATGCCCTAACCCCAAGCCCTATACAGGGGTTGTATGAGTTTTGCAGTTTGTAGAAGCAGAAATACTGAAACAGAATGAGCTGTAATGCCAGGAAAGGAGTCATATCATCCCTGGAATCACCGTGATGAAAGCATGGGGGGCGCGAATACGACTCCCCTAAATGATCACGGTTCCTAAGGACCTATTCCCGCTGCAAGTATGGAGATACATATACGTATATACACAATGCATGTATATATGCAACCCCCCCCCCCCCCCCAATGTGCCTGCCTTTTCTGGCTTTGAGCACGTGTTTTGAACCAATGGCTGTTTATTAAGGTGTGCCCATGTGAACTTTTGCAGAATGACGCGCGCAACTGCAACGACTGCTTTCGGCACGGAACTCGCGAAGACGATTGCGTTCCGGGGCCTGATGGACCTGCAACTTACTTGTAAAACTTGTTCATGGCTTGGGTGCCTTGATTCTTAACCAAGACTGCACGTCTGTCACGTGTAAAGATGCATGTCGCTTCTTGACTTCGAGTAGCCATGGGCAATTAGGACGCTGTGCGGAATGCATCGACATATGTGACTTATAGCTTGTGGAAGAAGCTCTTCAGCATAGTAGTTTCCCACTCCATTATAGAATGTAAACAACTCAACTAAACTGATTAACATAATGAATTGGAGGCAAGCTATAGTTTCAAAGTTATGTGCTGTTCGGATAGCCGGGAATGTTGGAAGAAAATGAAGGACAGCTACAAAGATCATTGCTGTGCCAAATAATCGTTAGAATCAGGGCTAGTTTGTGTAATGAGAGCTATTTATGCTATTCGCTGAAAGACAAACCACATCTTGCGACTGAAGACAATGATCTCATCCATTGAGCCAATTGAACTTTTATATATGGCTGCGCTCTTACTAGTTCGATATGCATTCCCTCAAGTTTAAATTTGAACGGCCAGGGTATATTGGAATAGAATGAGGGACGGCGATTGGGACAGCCGCTGTGCCAAACAGCCGTTATAATCAGGGACTAGTTTGCTTTGTGTAATTTGGGGCGAGTTTGCACTAGCCGTTGAATCAAAAACACATAGCGTGCAATTCAAAAACATGACGCGCCTACAAGCGAATTGAACCGATGGTGTCGTCTAGTTAGACATTGGTTGCCCCCAATTTGTAAAAGGATACCAGCTGAATGGGTTGCATCTTGTTTGGGACAGTGCAGCATTTCTGCTTCTATTTACTTGAAAAGACAGGTCTTGGGGGGACAGTAGAGCTTATTCTTTCAGTCTGGCCGCCCTAAAGTGCGTTTTTGCCCCCAAAAACTCATCTTTCAAAGGGTTTCGGGTTTAGGGGTTTAGGGGATAGGGTTGAGGGTTGCAAAAGCCGCTGTATTGTCCCCCAACAAAAAGCCAAAGACAAACAAACTTCAGAGACCTCTCGGGGCGCGAACTGGCCTGGAGGTTCCAAAAGATTGCGATTTTTGCTTGAGTGCGCTTTTTTGGGAGTGCAGCACTGTTTTGCTGGTGTTTGCTTAGACGATCGCAGTCTGAGGCCTCCGATGCTTCTAAAGGGAGCTTGCAAAACGCTGTTCTGTCACGAGCTGGCCAGGAGGATTCAACAAAACCAGGTTCTTTAGCTCTGGGTGGTAGAGTATTTTGGTTGCTGAGTTCATAAGCCCCCCAAAGAGTGTACACTTTCAGTTTTATAGGGGTTTTAATATCCCAAAAAGTGGCGAGTGTACTCACTCAGCTACTAAGGTATAGGTGCTAGGCTACGGGCCCCCATGGTGGGGGCCGGGGGGGGGGGGGGGGGGGGGGGGGGGGGGAAGCCACTGTGATCTAGATCATGGTTGGGATAGTCTTAGAAATATACCTGTCTGTTCCTTGTTGAGTTTCAGTACCCTTAACATTGCGAAATGCTACCCCGCTATGACAAAGTGATACCGAAGAACCCGCAAAAAGTGTAGCTTCTGTCTGGGGTACCTCTTCCTGCTGTTCGAAGAACGCAGTAAGAAAGCCTTTGCCCTAAACCGCTGAAAAAGCGAGAAAGGCGAATAAGTTGGGGGTCTACGGTCCTAGGTCTACTCATATTGTAACAAGAGGGGTCATGAGGCGATGATATTGGCAACTCTTTCGGCCCTATCCCCTAAACCCTATACAGGCCCTACACTAATCATGCACCTAGGCCCTAACCCCTAAACCCTTTACACTCATATACTTATCTCCTAATTGCTCAAGAACCCCCAAACAATATAAAATGTTCTTCCTTATAATTAAGGGTAATGTAGGATTTGTTCTTCTTTATTCCCCTAAACCCTAAACCCTAAACCCTCAACCCTAAACCCTAAACCCTAAACCCTAAACCCTAAACCCTAAACCCTAAACCCTAAACCCTAAACCCTAAACCCTAAACCCTAAACCTAAAACCCTAAACCCTAAACCCTAAACCCTAAACCCTAAACCCTAAACCCTAAAACCCTAAAACCTAAAACCCTAAACCCTAAACCCTAAACCCTAAACCCTAAACCCTAAACCCTAAACCCTAAACCCTAAACCCTAAACCCTAAACTAAACCCTAAACCCTAAACCCTAAACCCCAAACCCCAAACCCGAAACCCCAAACCCTAAACCCTATACAGGCCCTACACTAATCATGCACCAGGTCACGTTGGCGATTGCGGCGGGGTCACTTCGGTTTCATCGCTGTCGGTGCTGCTGCTGCTCGAGGAATCTGCGGCCAGCAGCACATTCGGGAAGCCTAAAATTTTATTGGGGTTTAGGGTTTAGGGTTTAGGGTTCAGGGCTTAGGGCGAGTTGAAGCTTGAAGGGTTTACATGTTTAGCCTCTTAGAGCTGAAGCGCAGCTTTGAATCCGGGTCACGCGGCAGGTTTAGGGAGTATGGGCACAACAACCTGCAAGGGACAGGTTTCGGGTGAAGAAGAATTGGAGATGATTCGGTTCGACTGGGGGTGGTAAGCCCTAAACCCTAAACCCTAAACCCTAAACCCTGAACCCTAAACCCTAAAACCTGAACCCCCTCCAGGAAACCGCGGGCCTGCAGACCCCTTGCTGCCTTTGCGCATGTCCGAGAACCTTGGAGATTTGAGGGTTTAGGGTTTAGGGTTTAGGGCTTAGGGTTTGGAATTTAGGGTAGGGCCTTTGAGGCTTTGTTTTAGGGCAATTGGAGGCTGTGGGGTTCAGGTTCTCAGGGTATTGTGTCATAGCATCCTATAACGTCCTTAGTGTCCTGAGCATCCGAAACCCTAAGCCCTGAGCCCTAAGCCCTAAGCCCCTAAGCCCCTAAGCCCCTAAGCCCCTAAGCCCCTAAGCCCCTAAGCCCCTAAACCCCTAAACCCCTAAGCCCCTAAGCCCCTAAGCCCCTAAGCCCTAAACGCAGCATTCCTAGGGATGAGGAAAAGAGTCCACTGAAAACACCACTGTAAATTGCCTCTAAAATGACTTTCAAACACCACCAGTGTCTACGTGCTATGTACCTAGTAATCCCTTCCCCCTAATATTAAACGGGGGGGGGGGGGGGGCTCCCCCCCCTTTAAAAATTCGAAACCGGATTTTTATAATTAGGGGGTATTTTTATCGAAATGTCATAACTCATTAGACTTCAGGGCTACTCAAGTAATCAACTCAAGTATGTGTTGTAAACTGAAAGAGAGAAAGAGAAAGATAGAGAGAGAGAGAGAGAAAAAAAAAAGAAAGAGAGAGAGAGAGAGAGACAGAGAGAGGGGGAGAGCTCAACTCTCGCAGCACAGCAAGGCTCAGACAGAGCCACTGAGACACACACACACACACACACTCAGTCACTCTGTCACTTCCTCGCACAGACAGACACACACTCAGACAGACACCAGACTGAACCCAGGTAGCCTAGAGACTGCCAGATGTTTCGTAGCCATGGTTGCGAAACACAGTCAGCAGTCCAAGGCAGGGGCCGAGACTGGGGAGGGAGAGCCTGAGTACTTTAGTAATTACAGACAGCCGTGCAGAGCGGTGCGGAGTTTACTGGGAGGCCTTTCTGCAGAAAGCCAGGCAGTCAGGACCACCTTTTAGCTGGGTGACCATGTGCCTCCGTTAGAGTCTTGCCTGCCTCTAAGCCTGTTGAAAACCTTTCTACAACCCTTGATTAAGAGCCGTTCTAGACCCTTAACCCTTCGTCATAAACCCTGAACCAAGACAGACAGGCAGGCAAGATCTGACAGATCGTATGAGTAGTGAGGCAGGCTATGGACAGCCAGTCTCACAGACAGCTGTAGTGAGGTAGGCTGTGGAAAGCCAGGCTCACAGGCAGCTGACAGACAGCTTCGTGCTGCCAAAAGACGGGCCTCTAATTATAATTAAACCCTAAACCCTAACCTTAAGCCCGAATCCCTTAACCCTAGACCCCCAACCCTAAACCCTCTGAGGGTTTTATTGGTGTTGAAGGATTTCTTGGAGGCCTGAACCACCCCCCCCCCCCCCCCCCCAAGTCGAAATAGGGTTTAAAAGGCGGGCTCGGTTTCGGGAGGATTTTCCGGAATGTGTTTTTATTATTAGGGTGGCATTTAATAAACGGGGGAAGCGATTAGTCCCTTGTCTGGGGACCCATCAGAATATATGTCTTTCAGGAATCTACCAGGTTGTTCTTGAAACGCTGCATACGGCCAGAAGTCAGACGGATGCTTTATCAGCAGACATGGTCAGGAATAAACTGCGGAGCCTGAAGCCCTGAAAAACTAGACTGCTTTTATTAAAGCCTAAACGCGCCTAACTACGCTGTCCAGCAAGCTAGGGTTAAAAAGGGTGCACCTTTGTTTAAAGGGGTCTATAGGAACCTAACCCACCAACAAGGGAATGAGGGCACGAATTACTGAGCATCCTAGATCAGCCGCAAAGGCCGGATGTAAACCCTGAAGCCTTGAACCCTAAACCTACACCGTAAACCCTAAACCCTAAACCCTAAACCCTAAACCCCTAAACCCTTAAACCTTAAACCCTAAACCCTAAACCCCTAAACCCTTAAACCTTAAACCTTAAACCCTAAACCCCAAACCCTAAACTCAAGACACCTGATGCTTGTTCGCAGCCGGGGTGCTTGAGCCGAGCCTGCAGCTTGACCATGGAGAGCACCATCTGATCCATCAACTCCTGCAGGTTTAGGGTTTAGGGTTTAGGGTTTAGGGTTTAGGGTTTAGGGTTTAGGGTTTAGGGTTTAGGGTTTAGGGTTTAAGGGTTTAGGGTTTAGGGTTTAGGATTTAGGGTTCAGGGTTTGAAGGTTTCGGGTGTAAAGGGCAACCCTTCTGCAGGAAAACGCTGTGCAACCCTTGCTTGCTGCTCAAGGCCTCTCCAACCGCTCTCCACCTTCTTGTCGAACCCGTTTAGGGTTTAGGGTTTAGGGTTTAGGGTTTAGGGAAGAGGGTTTAGGGTTTAGGGTTTAGGGTTTACGGTTTAGGGTTTAGGGTTTAGGGTTTAGGGTTAAGGGTTAAGGGTTTAGGGTTTAGGCTTTAGGGCTTAGGCTTTAGGGCTTCGACCCGACTTCAACCCATGCTAAACCCCATTCCGCCCTTGTACCCTAAACCCTGAGCCCTAAAAAACCCTAAACCCTAAACCCGAAACCCTAAACCGCTGAGGTCCTTGGTCTGGACCTGGTCTTTCTGGAGCAAAGCCAGGTTCAGGCTCGTCGCCTTGAATATGGGGGGTGGGTTTAGGGTTTAGGGGGTTTGGGGTTTAGAGTTTAGGGTTGAGGGTTTAGGGTCTAGATGGGTTTAGGGTTTAGGGTGTAGGGTTTGGGGTTTGGGGTTTAGGGTTTGCTGTTTAGGGTTTAGGGTTTCGGGTTTAGGGTTGGGCTTGGGGCTTCTGTGGTTTCTTGGAGGAAGGGGTTTTGAGATTTTTCGTCTCAGGATGAGGCTTTGAGTTTCATAGAGGGTCTGGTCACGGGTTAACCCCCAACTCTCCCCCATTCCCCAAACTCAGAACCTAAACCCGGAACACGAACCTCCCCAAACAAAAACCTTAAACCTCACCCCCTTTACGATTAGGGTTTTGATTTTTTTGGGATTCCGGGTTCGGGGCACCAGGTTTCAGGGTTTCATTGAACATTTTAAAGGTTCCCTAGACCTAAACCCTAAACCCTAAACCCTAAGCCCTAAGCCCTAAACCCTAAGGCAACCACGTGCCGTTCACAGCATCGTGGCGAAAGCGCTGTAGACCAAATATTAGGGTTTCCGAGAATAGGGCTACCACGCTTGGGGTTCCCATAAAAGGATTATAGCCTGGGGTATATGAGGGGTACCGCAGTATTTACGGAGATCCCACATAATCGAAATCCAAACCCTCCCTCCCCCACCCCCCCACCCCATCCCCCTCCAAAAAAAGACAAAAGCTAAACGCATCATGAATATACTGTGAAAGACTTCCTGGTTCTAAGTAGAGAAAGAAGGAATTACGTACCCTGTATAACCTGAAGAGGTCATCTCTAGGGGGATACCATGATATGAGGTATCTCATTCCCGACAAAGAACCGGTTAGAAACAACCCTGAACCCTAAACCCCAAACCCCAGATGATGCCATGAAAGCCAAACAACCCTAAACCCTAAACCCTAAACCCTCACCGAGTCGTCATCGAATATCATTTGCCACACGTTGCGCAGGGAGAGATCTAGCAGGTGGGGGAGAGAATGCCCGTGCATGACGAAGTCTCGCGAGAACAAGATACAGACAATTCCAGCGGTTATCAGCGAATGTCGCATTGCCTCCTTGAAAGCGTCCGGGGTCGTGTCCACACATCGGCCTTTCTTCGCAGGCTCTGCTTTGAAGATTCGGTCGACTGGGACTTCGGGTAGATGTGCAACCATGGAGGGGTCCGGCCGTTCTAACCCTTTGAGCCTTCGGATGGTGTCGGCGGATGACTCGAGCACGGATCGCTGATATTCACGTGTCTTGTAGTCCCGGGCTTCCTGGCCAATCCGGCGGCCCTAAACCCTAAACCCTAAACCGTAAACCCTAAACCCTAAACCCTAAATCCCAAACCCTAGACAGTTCTGAGCATGTGGCTGGTCCCTTGAGTTGGGCCACACCTTTGCAAAGCTCCTCCGCAGATGTTTTTGGGCGGCGGTCGGGGCTTTACATGGCCTGAGGGGTTTTCGGTTTTGGGGTTTCCGCGTTTTTAGAGGTTTGAGGGTTTAGAGATTTAGAGGTCCAGGGGCTTAGGGTTTATGGCTTAGAGTATTAGGGTTTTAGGGTTTAGGGTTTTAGGGTTTTAGAGGTCCAGGGGTTTAGGGTTTACGGCTTCGGGCGCCTTTGTTTTCGGGTTTCAGGCAGGGCTTTCAGTTCTTTGGCTGATTGTATTCTTATCTCTTTTTTGTTTTTCTGGGGAGGGGTGGGGGCTCTGTTCAGGATTCAGTTTTTCGGGCTCGATGAGGGCTGAACGTTTGAAAGGGCTTGTAGATTTCTGGGGTTCGTTTCGGGTTTAGGGTTTAGGGTTTAGGGTTTAGGGTTTCGGGTTTAGGGTTTAGGGTTTAGGGTTTGGGGTTTAGGGGTTTAGGGGTTTAGGGGTTCAGGGGTTCAGGGGTTCAGGGTTTAGGGTTTAGGGTTTAGGGTTTAGGGTTTAGGGTTTAGGGTTTAGGGTTTAGGGTTTAGGGTTTAGGGTTCAGGGTTTAGGGTGATTGAGGTCTGTGCAGAGCTCATTTGCAGCTCATTTACGGTCTTCGGTTCAGGGGCTGTGGCCATGCAGGGTTGTTCAGCTTTTTGGGACTCGAAATGTTCAGCTTTTGGCACCGTAAACCCTGAAACCCTAGACCTTATCGACCCTAAACCCTAAACCCTAAACCCTAGACCCTAAACCCTAAACCCTAAACCCCTTCAAGGACCTTCGGGATGAACCGCCCGGGGAAATTTGGGGGTGTCCTCCTGCTGCGTTCTCGGATCCGCTTGGGGCTTAGGTGCGAGGTCCAGGGTTTGGGTGCCGACACGTTGCAAAACAACCCAAAACTACTACTTGCTTAAGAACCCCCAGAACAATTCTTCAGGATAGACACTAGTAGCAAGCGCCTCCAAACCCTGAACCCATGAAAGCACACGCAAGAGTGAGGCCCTCGTGCTCTCTACTTGCCATGACAGCCCTCCCCCACCCCCCCCCCCCTCAAGCCAAAGGGTGTAGGGTTTATGTGCAGTGTTCTAAAGCGATATAAACTGAAGTCATGAAGGGGACAGCCCCCCCCCCCCCCCCCCCAATGCCAAAATAGATGAGCAGTTGCCTCCGCCGAGAGGTCATTCGTCTCTTCCCTGCAGAGAAGACGGTAGAGGTCCTGCAGCGCAGTTCACGGTTTAGGAACTGAGCCTTCAGGACCCTAACCTGCATAAGCTCTACGCCTAAACCCCGACCTACACGCAAATACTCTAAGGGCAGTTACATGGTCCCTTAGCATGGGCCCTGCACAACTTCGGGCCCATACATCAGAACCCTTTAAAGGAGGTAAGGGACCATACTCAGGGCCCATGAAACTACCCTTAGAGATACGCATGTTCGGCAACCTTGTTGCAGCAAGCAGCCGGGGTTTTTTTCCACCTGGCACTGCCAGAGTTAGGGGTCTCTGGAAGAAAAAACCTAGCCGGGCTGGGCGGCGACCAGGTCGACGGCAGAACACCTCCCTGACTCCTGCAACCGCTGCAGCTCGGCCGCAAACGGTCCTGAAGCCATACCTGGCGACTCTGCCTCACCTTTCTGCAGATTCAGGAGCTGACAGAGGAAGGAGCTCAGCAACCGGTTGATTGCATCTTTGGCCTCCTCTGTTCCGACCAAGCCCAAGAGATAGTACATCCATCCCGACAGGGCGATGGGATCCCCATGCATCGCTTTGTGCACCTTCACATCCCACCTGGGCTGGAATGTGGTTTAGGGTTTAGGGTTTATTAGGGTTTAGGGTTTAGGGTTTAGGATTTAGGGTTTAGGGTTTAGAGAATGTGGGGGCAACTTCAGGATCTATGGTTGCAGGAGGTTCTGCAGGGAGAAGGCCCACAGAAATCACAGGCAGTCTCTCCAAATACCCAAATTCTCAACCCTCAACATCCCAAGCCCCTGAAACCCTATAAACCCCGATAAACCCAATGCACCCTATAAACCCAAACCCTATAAACCCTGCAAACCCTATAAACCCTATAAACCCTATTTTACCTGATAATCCCTGCAGACCCTACAAACCCTGTAAACCCTAAACAAATCAACCCCAGCGACAGATGTCCGCGGGGCACCCCTGCACGAGGGATGGCGCGCACTGTCTGCTCGATGCATCCGTGCTTGTTCCAAGCAGAAGGCTCGGCTCGAATGGAAAGCCTCGGGTTTAGGGTTTAGGGTTTAGGGTTTAGGGTTTAGGGTTTGGGGTTTGGGGTTTGGGGTTTGGGGTTTGGGGTTTGGGGTTTGGGGTTTGGGGTTTGGGGTTTGGGGTTTGGGGTTTAGGGTTTAGGGTTTAGGGTTTAGGGTTTAGGGTTTGAGGTTCAGGGCTTAGGGTTTAGACTGTGTCGCTTGGGGTCATGGATGCCACGGGAGGTCGTGTCTACGGTCTCCCAAACCCCAAACTCGAAACTCGAAACCCTAAACCCCAAACCCTAAACCCTAAACCAAACCCTAAACCCTAAACCCTCAACCCGAACTACTTGACATCCAAAGGAGCAGTTGGGTGTCAGAGGCCCTGAACTGGCTGGCCACCTCATCCTTAAAGAAAAGGGGTTAGAGTTTAGGGTTTAGGGCTTAGGGCTTAGGGCTTAGGGCTTAGGGTTTAGGGTTTAGGGTTTAGGGTTTAGGGTTTAGTGTTTAGGGTTTAGGGTTTAGGGTTTAGGGTTTAGGGTTTAGGGTTTAGGGTTTAGGGTTTAGGGTTTAGGGTTTAGGGTTTAGGGTTTAGGGTTTAGGGTTTTGGGTTTAGGGTTTAGGGTCTAGGGGGGTTTAGGGTTTAGGAGTGTAAGTACCCTGACAGATGTAAAAAAATGATACCCCGCTATGACAAAGCATCTGTCACCGGCCAACCCACGCCATCGAGAAGCACCAGACCCACCGGGGCCACGCCCTTCTTCCTTTCTTGGGGGGGGGGGGGGGGGTTCTTTAAGGAGCTTCATCTTAAGGTGCGCACACATAGATTGTTAAAGATAGTAGGACATGTAGGGTTTAGGGTTTAGGGTTTAGGGTTTAGGGTTTAGGGTTTAGGGTTTAGGGCTTAGGGTTTAGGGTTTAGGGCTTAGGTTTCCTTACTAGTCGTTCGTTCGCATGGTTACGTAAAGTTCCCTCGCCAGAAGCCCAGCTACTGCAACTCCACCGCGCTCTCGAGCACGATGCCACCCCCTGCGCTGTGCCCAACCAGAATCAGGGGCCGGCCGCGTGCGAACCTTGGTAGCCCAGCGACCAGCTTACAACAAGGGCACCCATTTTTCGGTTGAACACAAAAAGGGAACCTTGAACCAAACAAAAAAATGAAAAAATGTACCACTGGGCTACCAAGGAACCAGGAGGCGTGGTCCACAACGTGCATGATGTTGTGTAGCTGGGCCGAGCGTACCGACTTCTCAACCCAAATCTCTCGGAATGTGCCGCCCTCCGTCAAGCTCGTCAAATCCACGGAGAGGCACTCCGCACCGGCAGCGGCTGCAGCCCGCGCGTGGTGTGCGAATTGATGTCTATCGCCTCCAAACCTTCTCTGTTCATGGGATCTGAAAGAAGAAGCTTAGGATTGATGTCTGCAACTTAGGGTTTAGGGTTTAGGGTTTAGGGTTTAGGGTTTAGGGTTTAGGGTTACCCGAAGCTTTCAGTACTTCTGAAAGTGCAGCCCTGAAACCCATGAAGGAAGATCACGGCGCCGCAGGCATCGCTGGATCCCCATGTCTCGTACGCAATGCGATGCCCGTCGATCTCCCGGTGGCCCATGGCGAACGCTAAACCCTAAACCCTAAACCCTAAACCCTAAACCCTAAACCCTAAACCCTAAACCCTAAACCCTGAACCCTGAACCCTGAACCCATATGGGGGGTTTCCGAAATTAGGGGTACCTTCTTGGGGCGCTTACTACAAGGGAAGCCGGCTATGTGGGGGTTCTATTCGGGGTCCCTTGTTTTCGTAACCTCCCCTGTCAACATGAAATGGGGCTTCAAGACATTGAGGATTTCATTCAGGGTTGCAGAAGTTTCCGATATCGGATGCTGCACCCAAAGCCCTAGAACAGCGTAATTGAGCCTAAATCCCTCAACCCAATTCTGAACCCTAAGCCCCCTAAACCCTAAACCCTGAACCCTAACCCTAAACCCTAAACCCGAAACCCTAAACCCTAAACCCTAAACCCTTATAGATCCTAAACAGGTTGAGGCTGTAGCTTCAAATCCGCAGTCCGGCTCGCGCTGCCGAATGCCGAAGAGCCGCAGCAATCTACAGGAGGCAGCCCGGATGCTACTGACCCAACAAACCCGAGAGGTTTAGGGTTTAGGGTTTAGGGTTTAGGGCTTAGGGTTTAGGGTTTAGGGTTTCGGGTTTCGGGTTTCGGGTTTAGGGTTTAGGGTTTAGGGTTCGGGCTCTAAACCCTAAACAAAACCTTCTTATTTATCACATGATACCCAAATTAGGGCTTTCGGGATTGGGGCTTAGGGTTTAGTGTGCCAAGAAGTTTGTAGGTCTGGCGTAGGCGTGACGTGGAATAAGTCATGTGATCAGCACAACGAAGCCCTAAACCCTAAACAACCCTCAACCAACCAACCAACCACTTCACTTGACATCCTTGTCAGACCCTATGTGTTCCAACGTGTGCCAACAAAATCCTGGGTTTGAGGCCAGGCTTTTCCCTCGCAAACCCCCGCAACCCCACCGATCTCACCCCTGCATATAACGCCACGAACCCTACCTACCTAAGGTTTACCTAGTAGGCCTTAAACCCTAGCCTCCCCCCCCCCGCCCGCCACCCCCTACAAAAAAAAAAAAAAAAAAAAAACCAACAACGACACGCCCTAAACCGTAAACCCTAAACACTACACCACAAACCCCAAACCCTACACCCTAAATCCTAAAGAGCCTAGACCCTAAACCCTAGACCCTGAAAACCCTAAAAGCCCTAAAAACCCGAAGAACCCAGGAAACCCTAAAAACCCTAAAAGCCTAAAAACACTAAGAACCCTAACACCCCTAAAAACACCAAAACCGCAAAACTCTGAAGACTTGAAAAACCCTAAAAACCCCTAACACCCCTCAAAACCCTAAAAACCCTAAAAACCCTAAAAACCCTGAAAACCCTGAAAACCCTGAAAACCCTGAAAACCCTGAAAACCCTGCAAACCCTGCAAACCCTAAACCCTAAAAGCCCTGAAAACTCGAAAAGCCCTAAAAACCCATAAAAACCCATAAAAACCCTAAAAACCCTAAGAACCCTGAAAACCCTAAAAGCCCCTAAACCCTAAAAGCCGCTAAACCCTAAAGCACCGAAAAAACCTAAAAGCCCTAAACGCCCTAAACCCTAAAAGCCCTAAAAGCCCCAAAAGCCCCAAACCCTAAAAAGCCCTAAGGACCCTAAAAACCCTAAAACCCCTAAAACCCCTAAAAGCCCTAAACCCCAAACCCCAAACCCCAAACCCCAAACCCCAAACCCTAAACCCTCAACCCTCAACCCTAAACCCTAAACCCTAAACCCTAAACTCTAAACCCTAAACCCTAAACCCTAAACCCTAAACCCTAAACCGCAGGTGGGGCCCGGGTCCTGGCCCGAGAGCATGGAAGCCTCGAAGCCCATCGCCGAGAGCCAGGCGATGCAGGTGGGGTCGCTGAGGATGGTCTCAAACTCTTCCTGAGGGTTTAGGGTTTAGGGTTTAGGGTTTAGGGTTTAGGGTTTAGGGTTTAGGGTTTAGGGTTTAGGGTTTAGGGTTTAGGGTTTGGGGTTTGGGGCTTGGGGGTTGGGGGTTTGGGGGTTGGGGGTTTGGGGTTCAGGGTTCCCAAATCCTAAAGCCAAGAACCCTGGGCCCCCAAAGACCTAAAGCCCCAAACCCCTAGAGCCCCAAATTCTGCTGTGGGATGGCCCTGCACCAGCCCAGGGTCTCCAGGTTGGGGGTTTAGGGTTTAGGGTTTAGGGTTTAGGGTTTAGGGTTTAGGGTTTAGGGTTTAGGGTTTAGGGTTTAGGGTTTGGGGTTTGGGGTTTAGGGTTTAGGGTTTAGGGCTTAGGGCAAAGTCAGTCTTCAGAGAGGATTCTGGGATGTGCAAGGCGGTGGAGGACCCGATACACAACCCACAACTTACAACACGCACAGCTTTTGGGGAGGCAGCTCCATTCACGAATCCATCCAACATCAGAATCGTAGCATCAGGAAAGATTTGAGTGTTTAGCGTGGATAGGGTCTAAGAAAGTTCAGGTCAGTCAATCCCAAAGGCCGTGTTAAGGCTTGCTATCATAATTATGCAACCTGGCCGCACGCCCCAAGCCCCCCAGCAGCTATAAGCTTAAAGCCTAAACGGTTTGGGGTTTACGGACTCGCGTGTTTGAAGCACAAAAACAAAATCTGGACAGTAAAATAGAAATATCCTTCCTTCTCAATGCAATATAAGGATGGCCATCTTTCCTTTTTAGGGGGTTCTTATGCAAATACATAGTCGAAGACTCTTTGTGATTTAGGGTTTCGGGTTTGAACCCCACATCCCGTGGCCCTGCCTGGTCAAGCCTTCCGTTGCCGTTTTCATCTGCGGCCACGAACAGCTCTGTCATCTTCTGCGTGTGAACTTTCAGGGCCCTGCTCGTCTCATGATTGAGTGGGGTTAAGGGACGTTAGGGTTTTGGGCGGGTAAGGTATCAGGGGTTAGAGAAGCCTGGGGTTTCAGGGTAGGCAAAAGGGATCTCCGACTCGTGAGAGGCCACGCTGACAGACTCGCTAGGAGTGTAGGGAGGTTGAGGATTTTGGGCATGGCGCCCCGGGGATTTGGGGCTTAGGGCTAGGGATAACCAAAATGAAGGCTTTGCCCTTGGGGTTTCCAGCGAAGAGTCTCAGGTTCTTGCAGCTTAGCATGCACCAAAACATCCGAAAACACTTCGCCCCGTGAACTTTCAAGATTGGGCGCAAAACTAACTTCCGACCCTCGAACTCAAAATCTTGAAGCCGCCGTGGGGGCAGAGTGCCGACTCTAGCTACACATGGCATCCCCTTATGGTTGCTTTATATCTGTACCCTAATGGCCCCTCAACCCCTAGTCTAACTATTCAGGCCCCTATATCTAGTTCATGGTTGGGATAGCATTAAAAATTTAAATTTATATTCAATTCTTTATTGTGTTTAAGTACCCTTAAAAATGTAAAATGTTACCCAACTATGACAAAGATATTAGGGACTTTCGCTGGCATGCTCGCGACCAATGGAACGAACCTTGGCGATTCGCATCTGCCGCCTGGTTCCCTCAAACCTCAACCCTAAACCCTGAACCCTAAACCCTAAACCCTGAGCCCGAAACCCCTTTCAAAGGGCTGTCATGGAAGCATGGGAGCCTCCTGCAAGCCAAGAAAAAGGGAGGAAGGATGCTTTAGGGTTTAGGGTTTAGGGGCAACCTGGGATGGCGACGAAGCAACACGCCAAACCCTAAACCCTGTAGGGTTTAGGGTTTGGGGCTTAGGGTTTGGGGACGGCTGCGGGGTGTCTGTGCCTGGGTTTAGGGCTTAGGGGATACGTCACATATTAGTTGCATACTTCTCTGGGCTTACTACTGATGAGAGAAAAAAATACCAAAAACATATTTTGGCAAGCATAAACACACATATGGGGGTTTACGACAATAGGGGACACCGAAAATGGACCTCCAAATAGTAAGATTCCCTTATAGTAAGGACCCCAATAAGGTACCCCTAAGTTCGGGAAACCCCATATCCACTGCGAGCTATGGGATATAGGGGTTACCGTTTACCCAGGGGCCACCGTGCACCAACACGCCTCTCTTTCTGGCTCATCATGATCACGTCGTCGTTGGAGGCGACGTAGAAGGTCACTTGTAGGAAGACGCCCATGATGACCTTCATCACCTCGGCACTAAACCCTAAATCCCAAACCCTAAACCCTCAACCCTAAGCCCTAAAACCGCAAAGTGGCTGCCACTGGGCTTGACTTGGGGTTGCAAGACCCGGCCCTAGGCTGACATAGGATCCGCAGCTGCCCCAAACCCTAGGGTTTAGGGTCTAGGGTCTAGGGTTTAGGGGGGCCCCGCAAACACGGAGGTTCTACAAGGAAGGTTTCGGTTTACTCTACAACCTTAAGTTTAGGGTTTAGGGTTACGCCCTACACCCCAAGAAACAACTGCAGCTGAAGCTCCGCAAATACCCCCAACCGGAGCCCACCCAAACGCAAGATCCTCAAACACAGGCCCCTGGACCTAATCCCAAAACACCAAGACGAACGCCCATAAACCCTAAACCCTAAACCCTAAACCCTAAACCCTAAACCCTAAACCCTAAACCCTAAACCCTAAACCCTAAACCCTAAACCCTAAAGCCGACTTGTGGACTTCGAGTCTTTAGGCTTGGCGTCTAAGAGTTGGAGTTTAGAAGCTAGGGTTAGGGGCTGGGTGCTGATGGTTTCAGCCCAGAGACCCGAGCCCAACACCCATCCAAGAATGTGCGGTTTAGTAGGGTTTAGGGTTTAGGGTTTAGGGTTTAGGGTTTAGGGTTTAGGGTTTAGGGTTTAGGGTTTAGGGTTTAGGGTTTAGGGTTTAGGGTTTAGGGTTTAGGGTTTAGGGTTTAGGGTATAGGGTTTAGGGGTTCAGGGGTTTAGCATTTCTTCTATCGATTGCTGACTTTTTTTATACTAGGGAACCTAACCCATCCTGGAAGGAAAATGTAGGTTCTGAACCCTAAGACCTAACGCCTAAACCCTAAGCCCTAAACCGCTCGAGAAGTGACATGCTCATGCCGAACCACCCTGAACCCGAACCCCCAAAAGCCTGATCGAAAGTTTCTTTGTAGGGTTCTTCAGGGAGGGGGTTCATGGGGGGTAGGTACCTGGGGAACCTTAGGGAAGTGGGGACTATTGGGGAACCTGGGGTTGCATACCCCTTGAACCCCCCCACCCCCCTCCCGTCCTAACCCCAAACCCTAAACCCTAAGCCCTTAAGAACGCTAAAATTTCTGGGCGGCCCGGCGGAGAAGCCCACCAATAGCTGAAAGCTGAGAACGAAGAACATCCAGAACTCGCTGACGTTCCTTGGTTGCACCCAGAACTTGCAAAACCCCTTAATTCTTTAGGGTTTAGGGTTTAGGGTTTAGGGTTTAGGGTTCAGGAATATTCCTTAATTTGTACTAAGGATCTTTATTGTGAATTAGGGTATGTTCCTTAATTGAGGGGCTTTGGAAGATCTGGTTGTGGTTCATCATATTGCTTGGTTTCCGAAATTGAGGGGTGCCTTATTTGGGGTGCTTATTATATAAGGGGGCTCCTACTGTTTGGGGTCTATTTGGGGATCTCAAAAGGCCCTAAACCTGAACCCTCATTCCCTGAGTGGGGTGTTGGAGCCTCGGGTAGCGCGGGGGCAGCGTCAAAGGAACCCAGGCTGGCCTCAAGGTTTCGGACTTGGGCAGGGCTTTGGGCGTCCGCCACTACGACTTTGACCCTAAACCCGAAAAGCCCAAACAACTGCAACCCGGAACACTGTGGATTCAACACTTTGGAGTCCACGTCTTCTTTAGGGCTTAGGGATTCTAGGGGTTGTACAACAAACCCTAAACCCTAAACCCTAAACCCTAAACCCTAAACCCTAAACCCTAAACCCTAAACCCTAAACCCTAAACCCTAAACCCCACACCCTAAACCCCAGACCCTAAGCCTCAACTCTATGTCCCCCAAAGTCTAAACCCTCAACTCTAGATTCCGCCTACTTCGGGGTCGAGGGGTCTCTAAAAGCACCTACTCCGGGCTACCTGGAGTCCGGATTTTTTTTGTCTTGGGGAGGAGACTTGAGGAGGTTTGGGGGGGGGGGGGGGGGGAGTTGTTTTCAGGTGCAAGTCCGTGTCAGCACCGGCTTCCACTAGAATGCGCACGATCTCGACGCGGCTGTGTCACATGCCAAGAACCAGTATACCGGTTGTCAAGTCCGTGTGTGCACCAGCTTCTTCCAGCAAGCAATCTCAACGTGACCCATCTCACATGCCCTTCAGTGCAGCTGCGGAGCCATCTTTATAAGCCCATGTGAGCAGGTTTTACAAGCAAGAGAGCGTGCAAGCGCCAGATGGCCACGCCAACACATGCAGAGAGCCGTCCAGCATGGCTCCTTTGTGGCGGCCAAGTCCTTGTCGGTATTGGCTTCTACCAGCAAGCGTGCGATCTCGACGTGGCCCCTTTCACAGGCCCACATGACAGCCGTGTTGCCACAATTGTCTCTCAAGTCTTTATCAACACCAGCTTCCATTAGCAAGCGCGCGTTCGCCAAGTGTCCACACCAACACATGCACATGAGAGCCGTCCAGCCTTTTTGCGTTGCCAAGTCCTTGTTGGCACCAGCTGCCACAAGTAACCGCGCAATCTCGTCACGACCATTGTGACAGGTACACAAGAGAGCCGTCCATCCTTCAACATCTTGCACGTCCGTGTCAGCGCAGGCTTCCATCAAAACACGTGCAACACCCACATGGCCACGCCAACACGAGCACATCAGAGCCGTCCAGCCTTTGCATGTTGTCAACTCCGTGTCGGCACCGGCTTCCACAAGCGTGCGTGCAATCTCAACATAACCGTTATGGCATGCGCACATGAGGGCTGTCCATCCATCAACATCCCGCACGTTCTTGTCAGCGCCGGATGCCGTCAGCACTCGCGCAATCTCCGCATGTCCCTGCCAACACGTGCACATCAGAGCCGTCCAGCCCTTGCTTTGTGTTGTCAATTCCTTGTCGGCGCCAGTTTCGACCAACAAGCGTGAAATCTCTGCGTGGCCATTGTTGCATGCACGCATGAGTGCTGTCCATCCATCATGGTCTTGAAAGTCCTTGTCGGCACCAGCTTTCAGCAGGAAGTTAGAAATCTCCATGTGGCCCTTATCACAAGCCCACAAGAGAGCCGTCCAGATCCGGCCATTTGTGGTTGCGATTTCCTTGTCAGCACCAGCTTCCACGAGCAAGCGTACACACTCTGGGTGGCCCTTGTCACATGCCCAGATGAGAGCTGTCCGTCCCTCGCCGTCCCTCAAGTCAATGGCAGCGCCAGCTTCTACCAGCAGGCGTGACACTCCCACATGACCACTGTGGCATGCCAGCATGAGAGCTGTTCGGCCAAAGGCGTCTGCCAAGTTCTTGGCAGCACCCGCTTCCACCAGCAAACCTGCTACCTCAGTGTGACCTCTTCCACATGCGGACCTTGGCTGCACTTACCAGGGTAGCTATAAAATTTAATTTTTAGCTGCCTTACTAAGAAACCCAATAAAGCACCACAAAGGGACATGAGGGCTGTCGTTCGAAGACCGTCCGTCGCATCCTTGGCAGCCCCAGCTTGCAAAAGGAAGCGGGTAACCTCAACCAGGCCATTGGAGCCCGCATACAGCAGCTCCTTCTGCGCCTCTTCTTGCCCCAAGGAGGTCCTGACTGGCCCAAAAAGTCAAGGAAATAAAAGCTGAAACTTTCAGAATAAGCTACCTTATGAGAAGCCCCAAAAGTTGAAAAGTTGGGTTTTGAGCCAGTAAGGGTCTTCTTCAGCAGCAGCTGCAACTCCGATGAGCTCAGCATCCTGGCATCCTCCAGCCTGGTGCCTAGACTGACTGAACTTGGAACCCCACAAAAAAAAAACATCTAATTTTAGCTGTTTCTGAGGAAGTATATATCCAGCAAAAAATGCAATTTTAGCAAATTCTGAGGAATTATGTATAGTACCAAAAAAATATACATCGTTCCCAAGAATTTCTAAGGTGCTGCCATGTAGGAGCTCTTGGAGGCATATGGGAAAGCCATGCAACTTCCGCAAGTGGAGCTTCAGGGCAGCAATGTCTCGCAGGTCCTCCATGGTTTAGGGTTTAGGGTTTAGGGTTTAGGGTTTAGGGTTTAGGGTTTAGGGTTTAGGGTTTAGGGTTTAGGGTTTAGGGTTTAGGGTTTAGGGTTTAGGGTTTAGGGTTTAGGGTTTAGGGGGTCCTCCGAGCTCAAGGAGGCGAGCTCTTCACCAGAGATCCCCCAAACGCGGAGCATCGCGGTCGTGCATGGAAGCGTGCTTGTGACCAAGACAGGTGTGCCTCTTCTGAAGTAGAATGCTCTTCCGGTAGTATATGAAAATGGTTCAAGGATTCTTTGGTAAAGAAGATATTGGTAAGTCTAAGCATATACAGGGATTATATGAAGATACCATCAAAAAAGTGACCAGAGCCAGTGCCTGAGATGCCTTGCAACTTGCTTTTTGAAAAGAGTGAGACGATCAGATAGGCACATACACAAACAGTTGTTTGGTCTAGTACATATACATAATGTTCTATATACATATACATATGTATATAGTACCTTTTCAAAAAACGCTTATAAGCATATTACGCATATTCGTGCATATGAATATCAACAAATACATATATATATATATGTCTATATTTATTCATTTATAATCAAACTGTGTATTATATTTATGCATACATTTCTATGTGTGTGTCTATATGTACGTGTATGTATGTGTATGTGTATGTGTATGTGTATGTGTATGTGCATGTGCATGTGCATGTTCATGTGCATGTGCATGTGCATGTGCATGTGTACGTGTACGTGTATGTATGTATGTGTGTGTGTCTCTCTCTCTCTCTGTCCATATACAGCATTTGCTGTGGTAAATAACCTTCACGACGCATGGTTCAACATCGCTGCTGCTGATGCAACCGTGTGGCAAGGCATCGTGCAAAATACTCTTACTCTTGATGAACAAGTCTGAACTAGGGTTTAGGGTCTAGGGTTTAATCCCGAAACCCAACCCTAAACCCTAAACCAAGATCGTTGCATCCCTAGCATTAGCCGCGTCAGCAAAGGCCCTACCAGCATCTACCGATCGGAAACCCTAGACTAGGGTTTTGGGTTTTGGGCTTAGGGTTTAGGGTTCAGGCTTTAGGGTTAGGGGTTCAGGGTTAAACAGGGGACGTTTCGGGTTTCTGCTTCCTTGTTGGGGTTACATCAAAAATGATCATTTCTATATGCCTGGTTGGGAAGTCAATAAGGTAAAATGAAAAATCATAACCAACAAGGACCCAGGTTCTAGGGTTAAGGGGTCAGTGCTCTACATGAAGATGCCTATGGGTCGAGTAAGGCCACCGTGATTCAAGATAAGTATCTACAGAGGTATCCTTAGGCCCCATGCCCTTCCTAAGCATGAAAGAAACCTAAACAACATCTTTCTGAGCCTAGTTTGGAGTTGAGCTTTTGGGTGAAAAGTTGTCTGTTGAGCCTGGAACCCTAAACCCTAAACCCTAAACACTGAATCCTAAACCCTAAACCCTAAACCCTAAACCCTAATCCCTAAACCCTAAACCTTCAGACTGAAGACCCTCAAGGCTCAGCATTTAGGGGTTAGGGTTGAAGGGTTTAGGGGTCGGGGGGTTAAGGGTTTAGGAGTTGGGGGTTCAAGGGTTTGGTGGTTCAGGGTTTTAGGGTTTGGGGGCTTCGGGCTTCAGGGCTTAGGGATGTTTAGGGTCTTCATTATACTCACATGTGCCGCCGAAGCCGCTCCGTCAACGCACGCGACGGGGGGGCCCAGTTGGCCAGAGTCATCTCAAAAAGCGACAGCATCGCGCGAGAGAAGGTGCCTGGGAAGGAATTTAGGTAAGTCTGCGGCCCTTAGCGCCTTTCAGACTCAGATCCTAAACCCTATAAACCCTAAACCCTCAACCCTAAACTCCCAAAATTTCTGAGATCTGACACAGATTCCTTCGCGTAAGGGGTTTAGGGGATAAGGGTCTAGGGTTCACCTACGGGTTGCAGGCTCAGGCGGTTTGGAAACCAGTTTTGATCTTTATGCGGTGCAGCCCTAAACCCTAAACCTTAAACCCTAAACGCTAAACGCTGAACCCTAAACCCTAAACCCTATACCCTAAACCCTAAACCCTAAACCCTAAGCCTTATAAACTCGAAACCCTAAACCCGAAATCCTAAAACCCGAAACTCACCAATGAAGCGCCCCGTGGCCGAAGTAAAGGTAGACGGCCATACGCCGCTCCAGCTCCTCATGGCTTGGGGGCCATGAGAACTTCGGGGGGTTTAGGGTTTAGGGTTTAGGGTTTAGGGTTTAGGGTTTAGGGTTTAGGGTTTAGGGTTAGGGTTTAGGGTTTAGGGTTTAGGGTTTAGGGTTTAGGGTTTAGGGTTTAGGGTTTAGGGTTTAGGGTTGCGGGTTTAGGGTTTAGGGTTTAGGGTTTAGGGTTTAGGGTTTAGGGTTTAGGGTTTAGGGTTTAGGGTTTAGGGTTTAGGGTTTAGGGTTTAGGTTTAAGGGTTTAGGGTTTAGGGTTTAGGGTTTAGGGTTTAGGGTTTAGGGTTTAGGGTTTAGGGTTTAGGGTTTAGGGTTTAGGGTTTAGGGTTTAGGGTTTAGGGTTTAGGGTTTAGGGTTTAGGGTTTAGGGTTTCGGGTTTCGAGTTTATAAGGCTTAGGGTTTAGTGTTTAGGGTTTAGGGTTTAGGATTTAGGGTTTAGGGTTTAGGGTTAGGGGTTAGGGGTTAGGGCTTAGCGCTTAGGGCTTAGGGCTTAGGGATGTACACATGAATATGTGACGTGCTTTCAGCACCAAGGAATCTATCCCCTGGCCATAATCGCATAAGCTTCACACCCTTCAAACACCTCACTTCAAGGGACTAGAGGAGGGACCCTTATAAGGGACCTTGGGGACTCTTTACGGGTTACTTGGGGTCTAGTTAGGTACATCGGGACCATATGAGGTATATATGGTTCAGCGTCGAGCGTCCTGGCCCCCCCCCCCCCCTGGTATCCCCCCCCCCCCCCCAAGTCTACTCTACGGTCCCTAAACCCTAAACCCTAAACCCTAAACCCTAAACCCTAAAACCTAAACCCTAACCCTAAACCCTAAACCTTAAGTCTTAAACCTTAAACCCTAAACCCTAAAACCCTGAACCCTAAACCCTAACCCTAAAACCAACCCCCAACCACACCACAGGGGGGGGGGTATCATCTTAGTACCCCATCCGCGGGGAAAACCCTAAACCCTAAACCCTAAACCCTAAAACCCTAAAACCCTAAAACCCTAAAACCCTAAAACCCTAAAACCCTAAACCCTAAACCCTAAACCCTAAAACCCTAAAACCAACCCCCAACCACACCACAGGGGGGGGGGGGGGGGGGGGGGGGGGGGGGGCCCGCCGGGGCCGAATCATATATAGAGGTTATATCGGGGAATAAGAGTAAGGGTCCCTTCTACAGGTCCCTCCTTGTCGTACTCCTTGATCACTTGAATCTTAGGCTAGTTACATGATCCCTTACTACGCCCTCCCTTATACAGCCTGCAAAACCAAGGGCCCCATACTTCAGAAACCTTTTAAAGAAGGTAAGGGACCATATTAAGCGACCATGCAACTTATCCTAACCCTGCACCCTAAACCCTAAACCTTGGACTGAAGACTCCTAGGATTTTAGGGGTTTCGGTTTGGGGATGGGATCCAGGATGTTTTGCTGGGCTTTCTTGGGCTTTGGGTAGGGGTTTTGCGGGTTGAAGTACTGGGAAACCCTTGAGGGCCTTGAGGGTGTGAGGGACCTTAGGCCAAAGCCGAAGCTCAAAAACTCACGAAAAGGACACAGACATCCAAATAGAGCTGTCCTAGGCTCGACCAACCCTGGGCCTTCTAAGGAACATGGATTGGTGTGGGGTCTCCGGAAAACCCGAAACCCTAAACCCTACGCCCTAAACCCCAAGCCCAAAGCAAAATACCCTAAACCCTGAACCCGAAACCCTGAACCCTAAACCGGATCACCCCGTAGAGTTGGCGTCTCCTGATCCTCGCTCCTGATGTAATTTTCCACCATCGTCCTTGAGGAGGTGAGCCCGTCGGATATGCACTGTGCACGAAGTGTGAGCTTTAGGGTTTAGGGCTTAGGGTTTAGGGCTTAGGGATTAGGGCATTAGGGATATAGAGGCTTAGGTTCAAGACAAGAGTTTAGGATGCTTCGGGAGGTCGCGCCGGGCCCGCTTTGCAGTTGAAGGCTTCGTGTTTAGGGTCTTGTTACACCGCAACTCCTATGGGCGGTTCTAGAAGTCCTGGTTCCTTCGTGTCTCGCGGATGCAATACAGGCTGCGGCCGTCATTTTTCGAACGGATTCTGCAAAACAGAAGACCTAAACCCTAAACCCTAAACCCTAAACCCTAAGTCCTAAACCCTAAACCCTAAACCGTTACCGTCCCCAAAACTCACCTTGGAGCTCGCTTTGAGCTCCCGCCTGCTCCCAGGACTCTGACATTTTGGGTTTAGGCCCTGCGCTGGGACCCCAAACAGCACCCAGAAAAAAACAGCCTGTTTTGTGCCAACAAATCTGCATAGATGTCATGTATTGAAAAAGAGAGAGAGAGAGAGAGAGAGAGAGCGAGAGAGAGAGAGAGATGTGCAAGAGGGTATAGAGTCAATTGCTAGTAATGAAAACATTGGTTGGGTTCCTCTGAAGGCATTGGGTGGAGTTCAGGTGGGTTCGACAAACAGCGTCTGCTTTGGCCAAAGGTGCACAAGGAAGAGGGACACCATCATCAGCACCAGGACTAACCTGGGAGCATGTTTCGGAGGAGCCCTAAATCCCAAAGCCTAAAACCCCAAACCCTGAAGCCCCCTACTAGAACCCTAAGACCTTACAACCCTAAAGCCCAAACCCTAAAACCCTAAAACCCTAAACCCCTAAACCCTTAAAACCCTAAAGCCGCAAAAACGCAAAAACCCGAAAACAATCCGCCACCCTGGAACTCGCAATCACGACTACCCAGACCCCCTGAGAGGATCCAAAAAATAGATCTCCAATAGTAGTGGATCCTCCCAGGGGGGTTTAGGGTTTAGGGTTTAGGGTTTAGGGTTTAGGGTTTAGGGTCTAGGGTAGGATTGAGGGCCGGAGCGCCGTGTTGAACCACAAAGCCGCAACTGCTGGGCTCCTGGTTTCCTAATAATTGAATTCGGGCTTGGGGTTTACAGGCATTGGGGTGTAGGGGTTATGGGGTATAGGGTTTGTAGGGTAGGGTTTGTAGGGTTTAGAGGGTTTACAGGGTTTAGAGGGTTTACAGGGTTTACAGGGTTTACAGGGTTTGCAGGGTTTACAGGGTTTATTACAGGGTTTTGCAGGGGAAATAGGGGCGATCGGGTTTAGGGTTTAGGGTTAGGGGTTCAGGGTAGGTTTGGGGCTTGGTCTTTGGGGTGTAGGGCTTAAGGCGGGAGGGCGAAGAGAGTCGGTTCCGAATTTAAGCAGTTCTAAGGCCGGCTAGAAAGCTAAACCCTAAACCCTGAACCCTCAACCCTAAACCATAAACCCTACCCGAAACCCTAAACCCTACACCCTACACCCTACACCCTAAACCCTAAACCCTAAACCCTAAGCCCTAAACCTCCCAAGATTCCTTTCAGGGCGCCGTGTTTGTGCGTGACTCGTTTTGCCAACGCATCCTAAGTCTTGAGGGTTCAGGGTTCAGAGTTCAGGGTTTAGGTGTAGGGTCTAGGGTTTAGGGTTTAGGGTTTAGGGTTTAGGGTTCAGGGTTTAGGGTTTAGGGTTTAGGGTTTAGGGTTTAGGGTTTAGGGTTTAGGGTTTAGGGTTCAGGGTTTAGGGTTACTGGTTCCCTACTCTTCTGCTCTTGAGAGTTAGGCGGTTCACCCACGGCGCAAGGTGTTGGCGAGCAGGCCCTCAAGCCCTAGACCGAACCCCTCCCCTAGCACCTTCTTGTGTTTAGGGTTTAGGGTTTAGGGTTTAGGGTTCAGGGTTCAGGGTTCAGGGTTCAGGGTTCAGGGTTTAGGGTTTAGGGTTTAGGGTTTAGGGTTTAGGGTTTAGGGTTGAGGGTTTAGGGTTTAGGGTTTAGGGTTCAGGGTTGAGGGTTCAGGGTTCAGGGTTCAGGGTTTAGAAGTTAGGGTTTAGGGTTTAGGGTTAAGGGTGAAGGGTTTAGGGTTTAGGGTTTAGGGTTTAGGCGGTTTAGGGTTTAGGGACCGATTCCTCCCTTGAAGGCTCAGCGGCAGAATCACGCTCCAGAACAAGGCTGCGATGCTGCCCTTGATAGACGTGATCATCACCTTGCTTGGTTTTGTGTTCGGTGGGTTTTGGGGTTTAGGGTTTAGGGTTTAGGGGGGGGGGGGGGGGGGGGGGGGGGGGTGGTTGGGGTTTTGCGTAAGGTTTTGTATGGGATTTTGGTGGGTTTTTACGGGCTCAAGTTTTGGGGTGTTCAGGTGTTGGGGTCTGAACAGTGGCAGCGCACCTCTCACCGTCCGAGTGTCGTTGAAAAGCCTAAACGCATGCCAGATTCACCACACAATTTCGAGACTTGAAACTTGAATCCCAGTACCCTCAACCCTAAAACCCTGAACCCTGAACCTGAGTCCTGAATCCTACAGCCCTGCAACTGTTAACTGGGTCCCCCGCATACAATGAGTCGAAGCCTTGGATGGTCCTGGACTTTCCGAAACAAAGGTCCTAGGGTGTTTATAGGGCTTAGGGCCCTAAATCGTAAAACCCAATCAGACCTGTAAGACCATAAAGCCCTGTAAAACCCGAAGACATACCCTATCAGACCTGTAAGACCATAAAGCCTTGTAAAACCCTAAGACATACCCTATAAGACCCGTAGAACCAGAAAGCCCTGCAAAACCCTAACACATCTTAAAACCCCCCCCCCCCCTAAAGCCACTAAGATGCCCTTAAACAAAACAAGAACTACGAGAAGCCCGGAATCTGGGCGTTGCTGAAGGAGGCGGGTTGATGGCTGAGGGTCGGGGTCCGAGAAGTCCGTGTCCTAAGCCCAAACCCCAAAGCCCAACTGCGAAGAGGTGGTCCGAAGGGAGCGTAGCTACGTGATTCTGCGCGGCTCCTCACCAAACGCAGCATGCGAAACCTCAGACGCCAGGTTTACTGCCTTGGGGTTTTGGCTTCTTTAAAACCCTAAACCCTAAAACCTAAACCCTCGGGCTTCAGATTTCTTGGCCTCCTTCTTAAAGGGACTTGAGGGGCTTATAAGCACAGTTAAACCCTCTAAGCCCTGAAGTTTTGAAATTATTTCCTAGTTTGCTTGAATACCCTGCTCAGAAGCTGGGGTGCTTGGAGGCCTTCCCTTTTCGGCTTTGAACATTAGGGATAAGGCAGGCAGTAAGCTTGAGAAGCCGGAGGAGAAAAAAAAAACACGAGCTTTTTGCGTACGGACAAGCGGCGTCAACAGTGCAGGTGGTATAGGCGGTATGAGTGACAAGCCTGGAATGCCGAACAAAACGACAGAAGTTTATGCATAGTAGTCTGTACATGAGAGCTGTAAGCAACCCCGATGAAGACTCTGGCAAGTCCGCCCGCCTGCTAAACCCTAAACCCTAAACCCTAAACCCTAAACCCTAAACCCTAAACCCTAAACCCTAAGCCCTAAGCCCTAAACCCAAAACCCTAAACCCTAAACCCGAAACCCTAACCCTATGGGCCGAAATCCGAACGCTAAAGTCCTACCTTCGAGTCCTAAACCCTAACATGCTCGAACTTCAGCTGTTGAGTTCATGATGGGGAATTAGGTACCTTATTCCCCCAAACAATTCTTTCAGGGACCGAATTCCTATTCAGAACCAGAAAACAAATTCCTGTGAACAGTTCTGGCGCATTGCAGGCTGAGGCAATGTGAGGTACAAGCGCGAGGGGGTTTAGGGTTGAGGGCATGTTAAACGGAAGCGCGCTTTGTGAACCACTTTGTTAGTCTGCAGACCTACTTACCCTAAGACCGCCGACTTACAACTCTCAAACAGTTAAGGCCTTTTTCTACAAAGCAACATGCACTATCGATGCGATGTTGTTTAGACGACCTTGATATGAAACTCTTCACTGAAGCCACCTACGAGTCGTGTCACATGGGTCGCCTGGAGCACGTGGGACACTTGGGTCGCTTGGGGTCATGATTTTGGGAGAACTGGGAACACTTGGGTTACTTGGATCACTTGGGTCACCTGCGACACTTGGGTCGCGTGGGTCGCCTAGGATGCGGGTGCCTGGTTCACTCGGTGACTTGAAACTTGAAACACTCGGGTGACCTGGGTCACTTGGAACACTTGGGTCACAACCGTAACGGTGTGTTATGGGGCACTTGGGTCACTTAGGCCACTTTGTGGCACTCCAGACACACTTGGGGCCTTGGCGTCACTTGGGTCACTTTGAACACTGGGGGGCACTTGGACACCCTGGGTCGCTTGGGACTCGGGACACCCTAAACCCTAAACCCTAAACCCTAAACCCTAAACCCTAAACCCTAAACCCTAAACCCTAAACCCTAAACCCTAAACCCTAAACCCTAAACCTAAACCCTAAACCCTAATCGCTTGGACTTGGGTCGCAGCACTTGGGATGCCTTCAGGTCTCTCAACCTCGAACACTCGTAGGCCCTCATTCCCTCGGTCACTTGGGGCCCTTGTGTCGCCTGGGTCACTTTGGCCATTGGGGCCTCGGGGTCCGTTTGTCTCCGCAATCAAGGTGCCGGCCGAAAACCTACATTGCGAACGCTTGGGACGCTTGGCCCAAGTCACTTGGGACACTTGGGTCGCCCGCCTGCTGGGCTCCCTCGCAGAGTCTCGCTGAGCGCTCGACCCACGCCCGCCGACCCCAAAAGACAAGTGAGTGGGGTTTACGGTCCATCTCCCAACTCAGAGGCCCCAAACTTAAACCCGAAACCCTCTACCCTAAGCCCTGAAGCACGTCAGCACCGAAGCCTTCGAGACCCCTAAACCCTAAACCCTAACACCCTAACACCCTAACACCCTAACACTCTAACACCCTAACACCCTAACACCCTAACACCCTAACACCCTAAAACAACCCTAAAACCCTCAACCTGAACTCAATGCCAGCGGAATGGCAGCTTTAGAAGCCTCAGCAGCCGCAAGAGTAAAGGGTCTACCTGGGCCCGACAAAGGGTTTGGGGTTTTGGGGCTTGGGACTTGGGGGGGCTTGGGTTTTAGGGTGCAGGATGTAGGATTTAAGGGCATAGGGTGGAGGAGGTACGTGTATGTATATATATATATACATATGTATATGTATATGTAGCTTAGCTAAGGTTATGATATAGGCTACCGCAAGTAGAACTGACCGCCGGTACAACTACCCAACTAGGGTGCAGGGGAAACCCCGAAACAAACCCGAAACCCTAAACCCTCAAAAACCTTTTAACCCTTAAAGCATCAGACCCCTAACGGCCCCAAGCGATCGTCAGTCCTCAGGCCCTGCAGCGTTTAGCGCTTGGGTTTGAGGGCTTAAGGGTATGGAGTTTGGGGTATGCGGTTCAGGGCTAGCCACAGGGGATGACCACGGTTTAGGCTGTGGGCTAGCACAGGGTTAGGGTTTGGGGTTGAGGGTTTAGGGTTGAGGGTGTAGGGTCTGAGGTGTAGGATTGAGGGTTTAGGGCTGTTTGGGGGTTTGGGGGCTTCCGTGCCGTTCCGGGTTTAGGGGGTTTAGGGATTTATATAGGGGGTTTAAGAGTTCAGGGCTTAGGGTTTAGGGTAGAAGGGTTCCGGCTGTTTGGCAGGCCAGGACACTGGGAAGACTCCCGCAGCCAGCGTGTCGATGAACCACGCAAGGACAACGGCGAAGTCCTGGCGCTGTTGCAGTTTAGGGTTTAGGGTTTCAAGGTTTAAAGTTTAGAGTTTAGGGTTTAGGGTTCAGGGTTTAGGGGTTCCGCGGCCACTCTCGGTGCAAGGATAACCTGTCTGATCTCTGCTTAGGATCCCCACACACACAGACCAAAACCAACCAAATCGCAAGATGCCCGGCCTATGAGTCCAGTGTATTATAGGGCTTCATTGCTCTTGCGCATGTAGCCCTTCATGTTTAAGGCTAGGAAGCCCTACAGCCTACACCCTAAACCCTAAACTCTAAACCCTAAACCCTAAACCCTAAACCCTAAACCCTTGTGGCGGCTTGCGGGTTTGGGATGCTAGGGTTTCTATGGGCAAGACCCCATGAACCATATAGGGTTTGCGTTTAAGGTTTAGGGTTTAGGGTTTAGGGTTTAGGGTTTAGGGTTTAGGGTTTAGGGTTTAGGGTTTAGGGTTTAGGGTTTAGGGTTTAGGGTTTAGGGTTTAGGGTTTAGGGTTTAGGGTTTAGGGTTTAGGGTTTAGGGCTACGACCCCATGAACCATAGGGTTTAAGGTTTAGGGTCAAGGTAAAGGAGTCTCTGAAGGGCCGGGGTGGGGGGTGGACTGGCACCCCCAAACCCGAAGCCCAAGAAACCCTGAACCCTAAACCCTGAACCAAGGGCTCCAGTAGGTTCCAAATATCCAGGAAGAAGCGGTAGTCCGTGGCAAGCAGCTTGAAGAAGATCTCCTGGTTAAGGGGGATTATGGCTTGGGGCTTGGAGCTCAGGAATAATGCTTTAGGTTGCTAAAGCGTGTAGGCGTCAGGGTGTGTAGGGTTTAGGGTGAGGGCCTTGCAGCGGGCACCATGAATCCTAAACCTGCTCCCACCACCTAAACCCTAAACCCTAAACCCTAAACCCTAAACCCTAAACCCCTAAGCCCTAAACCCTAAACCCTAAACCCTAAACCCCAGGGTTCACAAGGTTCATTACTTTTGGCCAACCCTGGCTGTGGGGCACAGACCAACTCAGGCCTCTTGCATCGTGGAGGAAGCCCATCGGCGGGCATGATCAGGGTTTGGGCTCTAGAGTTTAGGGTTTAGGGGTTTTGGGGTTTGGGGTTTGGGGTTTAGGGTTTGGGGTTTAGGGTTTAGGGTTTAGGGTTTAGGGCTTAGGGTTTAGGGCTTAGGGTTTAGGGTTTGGGGTGTGGGGTTTGGGGTTTTAGGGTTTGGGGGTTTAGGGTTCAGGGTTTTAGATGGTTTTAGGGTTCAGGGGTTTAGGGTTAGGGCTTTGCAAGGTTCAGACCTGGATGCTGGTAGGCTGAACTCTGCAAGGCAACATTCCTCAGGTTTAGGGTTTAGGGTTTAGGGTTTAGGGTTTAGGGTTTAGGGTTTAGGGTTTAGGGTTTAGGGTTTAGGGTTTAGGGTTTAGGGTTTAGGGTTTAGGGTTTAGGGTTTAGGGTTTAGGGTTTAGGGTTTTAGGGTTTTGGGCTTGGCGTTCAGGTCAGATCAGTGTCCAGGCTGAAGAGCACGCCGAAGAAGAGCTCGAAGCCATAGAAGGCATCTTCTGCCCCGGGCCAAATCTCCTGGGCTTCGGCTTTGGGGGCCTTGTGGGGTTTAGGGTTTAGGGTTTAGGGTTTAGGGTTCGGGGTTTAGGGTTTAGGGTTTGGGGTTTGGGGTTTGGGGTTTGGGGTTTGGGGTTTGGGGTTTGGGGTTTGGGGTTTGGGGTTTGGGGTTTGGGGTTTGGGGTTTGGGGTTTGGGGTTTGGGTTTGGGGTTTGGGGTTTGGGGTTTGGGGTTTAGGACTTAGGGATAGGGCTTTGGGGCGTTACTGTGGTATACTTATAAAGGGGCCATCAGGGAATCTTATTAGTACTTTTTTTGACCCCTTTATCAGGCTTTGGGGCTTATAGGCTTTTAGGGTTAAGGGTTTAGGGCTTAGGGTTGAGGGCTTGAGGCTTAGGGCTTAGGGCTTAGGGCTTAGGGCTTAGGGCTTAGGGCTTAGGGCTTAGGGCTTAGGGCTTCGGGTTTAGGGCTTCTAGGGTTTAGAATTGGGCCTCAGGAAGTGGGGGAGTCAGAATAAGAGTTGAGGGCATTCAAGGCTTCAGGTTTTGGATGTGGGGCGGGTCCTTGGGTCCTGGGGTAGGGTCTAGGGTTTAGGGTGTAGGGTTTGGGGTTTGGGGTTTGGGGTTCAGGGTTTAGGGTTTCGGGTTTGGGGTTTAGGGGAAGTGTAGGGTTTAGGGTTGGGGTTTTGGGCTGGGGTTTGGGGTTTGGGGTTGAGGTTTTGGGGGATCGGGTTTCGGGTTCAGGGCTTTGCGCTTTAGGGAGAAAGGGTATAGCCATAGATGTAGGTAGGATTGCTCAAGACCCTCGACCCTGAAGATTGGGAGGGGAACAAACAAAAGCAGATTGGGGCTTTCCAAACTCGCAATACCCCTCCCACCCCCCCCCCTCCCCCCCCGCACTCCAAGTTCAACCCTGAACCCCAAACCTAAACAAAACCCAAAAACCCCAACCCCAAACCCAAAACCCTAAACCCCTAAACCCTAAACGGTGGAGCCGGGGCCCCGTCGACAACTTCTACCCGACCATCCCCCCCCCCCCCAAAAAAAAAAAAACTGTGTATTTTTCTATGGCTAAAAAAAAGAGAAACAACACAGAGTCAAGCCGCATTAAACTGTCAACCCTAAACCCTAAACCTTAAACCATTAACCCTAAACCTCTATGCACGGCCGGCTGTCGTTTGCCGGACGCTTGACGCTGTGATGGCCCACGTAGAATCCGACATCGAGGCCGCGGTACTGCACCTGTACTTGGAGTCCCCGTTTAGGGTTTAGGTTTTAGGGTTTAAGAATGCTGCAATACAGTAGGAACCTCAAAGGGAGCCTCATTTGGACTCGGGAAGAGATACTTTACATCACACTTTTGAACATAAACGGAATTAAGGGTGTAGGATTAGGGTTTAGGGTTTAGGGTGTAGGGTTTGAGGTTTAGGGTTTAGGGTTTAGGGGGTTGAGGGTTGAGGGTTTAGGGCTCATGGCTTCAGGGCTTTTGCTCTGTGGTTCAAGGCTGGAGTGCCCCTGCAGGGTTTTAGGGGTCTAGGGTTCCTGAGGCCGCAAGTCCTAAACCCTAAGCCCAAAACCTGAACCTTCAACCTTTAACCCTTAGATTTTGGGATCTGGGTAATGTAAGGCTCTTGGACCGAAAAGTCCGCGACCGAAAGGGTCGAAAGCCGCAATCGCGGGCTCAGCGTCGAACATCTGCGGGGCATTCAAGATCTACTTGGAGGTTCTCAGGGTACTTATAACCCCAATCATAACTAGACTTATAAGCCCCCTAAGTCCCCTAAGTAGGTGATAAGTAGACTCATAAGTGGGGGTATAAGAAAAAAGGTTGGAACCATGGGGCCGTTGGTGTGGTCCCTTCCTTACCCTAAGTGATCCGAAGTATGGGCCCTCATCGCACCTGCACAGCCATGATCACGGTGTTGAACAAAATTGCGACGGCGAAAACCACCTCCGATTCAGCGGCTGGGCTCTGCAACTTGAGAGCAGCGTTTAGGGTTTAGGGTTTAGGGTTTAGGATTTAGGGTTTAGGGTTAAGGGTCTAGGGTTTAGGGTTTAGGGTTTAGGGTTTAGGGTTTAAGGTCTTGGGTTTTGGGTTTAGGGTTATGTGGGTCAAGTCTAAACCCAGCAATTTAGGTTTCGGTCTCCCCTAGCCGCGTTTGAGGTCTAACCCTACTCGTTGTTGGGCGTAGGGTTCAAGGCCTGGGGTCAACAAAGTGAGACATGGGACAATCTATAGACTCAACCTCTAGCCTACATATCACCAAAAGGGATCAAAAGGTGCCAATTTCCCGACTTCCTTTCTTGAGAACTTTGATAAGTGTTACCCCCCCTCCCACCCCGCCCCAACAATCCATAACTACTACCCACTTTCTTGCTAGCTGTTGGGAGACGAAGAGTAATTAACTAGGCTTAGCTGGGACACCGCAGTATTAGACCCAGGGGAAACCCAGGAATGAAAAGGGTGCCCTTTTGGCTTTAAAGGGGCTTATAAGGGACCCTAAACCTCAAAAACAGGGGAAATCTTGGCCTACTCGAAGTTTTCGTTTAGGGGTTGGGCCCTAAATCTGGGCCTCAAAGAGAGGGGAGTTGACGAGTTGAGCCATTCCAGCACGCCAGCCAGCACCTCGACGGCAGAACTTGTGGGTTGCGGTTTAGGGTTTAGGATTTAGGGCTTAGACTTAGGGTTTAGGGTTTAGGGTTTAGGGTTTAGGGTTTAGGGTTTAGGGCTTCGGGCTAAGGGCTTAGGGCTTAGGGCTTAGGGCTTAGGGCTTAGGGCTTAGGGCTTAGGGTTTAGGGTTTAGGGCTTAGGGTTTGTGCTTAGAATTTGCAGGCTTAACAGTGCTTTCCAGGTTTACAGGGTTGATAGGGTTTGCAGGGCTTCGAGGACGCGTAGGCTTTGCCGGGGCTCTGCAGTGTGTTTTTGGGGTTTCGGGTTTAGGGTTTAGGGTTTAGGGTTGTATAGGGTTTGCAGGTCTTGTAGGAATTCGAGGGCTTGCAAAGAGTTCATAGGCTTAGAGCTCACAGGTCTTGCGTGGTTCGAGGCTCCGCAGTGTTTTTTCTTGTTTTTTTTTCTCCCTGCTGCTTGGTAGCCCAGAAAGCATACTATCACAAGGGCACCCTAACCTTGAACACAACAAAAAGGGTACCAAAGGGCAATTACCACTGGGCTACCAAGCCTGTTGTGCAACCTAAACCCTGAACCCTGAACCCTGAACCCTAAGCCCCAAACCCTAAGCCCTAAACCCTAACCCTAAACCCTAAACCCTACACCCTAAACCCTAAGCCCTAAACCCTAAGCCCTAAGCCCTAAGCCCTAAACCCTAAACCCTACGCCCTAAACCCTAGACCCTAAACCCTAAACCCTAAACCCCAAACTCTTGCAATGTGGCCCAAGGAACGTGGCATCTCGCGCTCTAGGTTCACCGCAGTCAGGCTTCGACTGAGCAGTGTTTATGAAGGGTTTAGGGCTTCAGGTTTAGGGTTTAGGGTTTAGGGGTTTAGGGGTTTAGGGGTTTAGGGGTTTAGGGGTTTAGGGGTTCAGGGGTTCAGGGGTTCAGGGGTTCAGGGGTTCAGGGGTTTAGGGGTTTAGGGGTTTAGGGGTTTAGGGGTTTAGGGGTTTAGGGGTTTAGGGGTTTAGGGGTTTAGGGGTTTAGGGGTTTAGGGGTTTAGGTCTTGGGTTGAAGGTGGAGGGAGGGTTTGCCATCATTAACCTGCACTGGTCTGTAGCAATCCGGCACCCTAAATCCTAAATCCTAAACCCTAAACAAAAAAGCGGGCCGACCCCCCATTGCCACCATCATCGAACAAAACGTCGAACTGGGCCCGTGTACATGACCTTGTCGTGATCACCGACTAGAAGGTTCAAGGGTTCGGTCGTTCGTGGATGCGTACGTTCTTGTGTACAATGTAACACCACTGCCTTAGCCTCCTCAAGCAAGCGAAGGTTTGCGTCGCCGACCTGGAATACTTTCACAAAGAGCGATGCAGTGCGGTCCGTCAACTGCACAACCATACGCGGGCCAGCCGACACTTTGTCCGAGGTGCTGTGGTGGAGGGACACGTAGGTGATGGGGCCTTCAGAGCTACTCCGATGATCTCAGATGCAACAGCTCATGAACTCCGAAACCCTAAAACCCTAAACCCTAAACCCTAAACCCTAAACCCCAAACCCTCCAGCGCGCATTGAATCCGCACCTTCCTCGCTGCCACAAGGAGTTGTCAGGAGCCACGCCTACGTTATATAAAGGGGCCTTAATAATTGGAACAGGGATTTGTGGGGTTATTATAGCTATACTTGTAGAGGGACCATAAGGGAATACCATTAGTAATCCCTAAACTCGAATAAGTAGCACAGGGATTCTTTTTTTTTTTTTTTTTTTTTGGGGGGGGGGGGGTTATTATAGCTACAGTTGTAGAGGGACCATAAGGGAATACTATTAGTAATCCCTAAACTCTAAGACGAGTCGTCAATCAGCGGCTCGTCGAATCTCGCGTGCAGGGCCGTAGGCCCGGAAGCGCTGAAGCTGCTTCTGGGGTTTACGGTTTAGGGTTTAGGGTTTAGGGTTCAGGGTTCAGGGATTAGGGTTTAGGGTTCAGGGTTTCGAGTTCAGGGGTCAGGGTTTAGTGTTCAGAGTTTAGGGCTTAGGGTTTAGGGATTAGGGTTTTCAAGGCATGGTGCAAATTCAAGGCTTGTCAGAAACGCCCAGCAAAGGCCGTTTCGACTTCTGTGTGGCTGTACACGCAGTATCTTTTAGGGTTTAGAGTTCAGGGTTCAATGTTAAGGGCTTAGGATCTTAAAACCAGCATTCCTGGGCAGCTCCCCAATTGGCCTTTAAATAGAAAATAGGTCCACTGCAAGTGGCTCCAAAAAGGGCGCCCATAGTCTTCTTAAGGGTTTAGGGTTTAGGGTTTAGGGGTTAGGGTTTAGGGCTTAGGAGTTTAGGGGTGTGCACAGATATGTTTTGTGCTTGGGCCTTAGAGCGCTTATTGCGCAGCCTAGGGGTAGATAGACCCTTGTACCCTAAACTACTCCTCTCCCATGATGTTGGTCTTGGGAGAGAGATGGAGGGAGGGTTTGGGGTTTGGGGTTTGGGGTTTGGGGTTTGGGGTTTAGGGTTTAGGGCTTAGGGTTTAGGGTTGGGGGTTTGGGGTTTAGGGTTTGGGGTTTAGGGTTTAGGGTTTCGGAGGTTCAGTGCTTGGTAGCTCGAATTTAAGTTACATTCCTGGCGATGTGCCTTGAATGCTAACACATGTTTAGCAAAGCCTGTTCCTAGTCATATTAAAAGCGCGAAAACCCTGAAATCACAGTCGGCCTTGCTTGCAAGCATTTTGGGATGTACATCGGGAAGGATGTGCGGGGATGTGCGTGGTGTTTGCAACCTAAACCCTAAACCCCAAACCACAAACCCGAGACCCACGGGGGGTTCCGTCGAGTCGCATGCCCCGAGTTTGACGGCTGTTGGTGCCCATGAACGCCTGCGAGGTTCTTGGGTTTGGGCTTAGATTTAAGGGTTTGAGGGTTTCGGATATAGGGTTCAAGGGTTCTAGGGTTCAGGATTTTGCAAGGATGTCGGGCTAAGGGCTTTAGGGTCAGGATGGAGGGTTTAGGGTTTTAGGGTTTAGGGTTTGGGGTTTGGGGTCAAACCTTCTTGGCAGGCTTTTCAAGGTTCTGGTTTGAGAGCTGTTCTGTGTGGAGGCAGAGTGGGGGAGCGCAAGAGTGGATCTAAACCCTCTCCCCGCAAGCCTTACATAAACCCAAAACTCTTACACCCTAGATCCCCTCCACCCGGAACCCCTAAACCCTTGAACCTTAAACCCTAAACCCTTAAACCAAAGACCCTTTCCACCCTAAAACCCCAAACCTTTAGAGCTGAATTCGGATTTGCAGCTCAGGGCCATAAAAAGCACACTAAACTCCTGAACCGTTAGGGTTTAGGGTTTAGGGTTTAGGGTTTGGGGTTTGAGGTTTGGGGTTTAGGGCTTAGGGCTTAGGGTTTAGGGTTTAGGGTGGAGGGTTTAGGGTTTAGGGTTTAGGGTTTAGGGTTTAGGGTTTAGGGTTTAGGGTTTAGGGTTTAGGGTTTAGGGTGAGCCATCCTCAACCCTGATTCTTATAGGGATGGGCTGGGCGAAGTCCTCAACCCCACAGAGACGTCCAAGAACCCTGGAACCCGGATCCCTAAGTTCCGGCACTCGAAAACACACCGGTCCCCTAAAAGAACTGAACCCCTCGAGCAACTCAAGAAGCAGAAGAAGAAGAACAACAACAACAAGAAGGACAAGAAGAACAAGAAGGCCTAAAGCGTAATCCTACACCCCAAACCCCCTAACCCTAAACCCTAAACCCTAAACCCCAAACCCCCCCTAAACCCCGAACGCTCAAGCGCCTTCGTTGCATTGCTCGGGTCCATCTTAAGCTTCTTGCGAAATCGCTTGAAGAAGGCAGACCTTCAAACGATGGAGTTCGGTGTAGGCTTTAGGGTTTAGGGTTTAGGGTTTGGGGTTTAGGGTTTAGGGTTTAGGGTTTAGGGTTTAGGGTTTAGGGTTTAGGGTTTAGGGTTTAGGGTTTAAGGTTTAGGGTTTAGGGTTTAGGGTTGAGGGTTTAGGGCCTCGGGGGACGGGCCTTGAGGCCCTGAAACCCTAAACGAATGGCCTTGAGGCCCTGGAACCCTAAACCCTGAACCACGAAACAGTGGCCATGAACCGCGAACAAATGGCCATGAACCACGAAAAGTTGGCCATGAACCACGACAAAATTGCCATGAACCACGACAAATTGGCCATGAAACACGACAAATCTGCCATGAACCACGAAAAACTGGCCATGAACCACGAAAAAATGTCGATTGGCCATGAGCCACGAAATTTTGGCCATGAGCCACGACAAAATGGCCATGAGCCACGAAATATTGGCCATGAGCCACGAAGTCATTTAGGTTTAAATTTATCATATGATGGAGAGGCTCTGGGGTTCGGGCTGTGCTTGTTAGGGTTTAGGGTTCTATCTGTCGGCTATCAGCCTTAAACCCCTAACCCCAAGTATGGGAGGCCATCTGGGTCCAGCTACAACTCCCAAGCCTCCTCAGACTTCCTCAGGGCCGGGGGTGTAGGGTTTCAGCCTCAGGGCCTTGAGTTTAGGGTTTCAGGGCCTCAAGCTGTGGGGTTGAGGGCTTCAGGACCTCAAAGCCTGGGCCTTAGGGTTTCAGGCCCTGAAGCCTGGGTCAAGGCCTGGAGTTTGGGGTTTCAGGGCCTCAAGGTCTAGGGTTTAGGGTTCCGGGTTTAGGGTTTAGGGTTTAGTGTTTCAGGGCCTCAAGGTCTGGATCAACCAAGTTCCAGGCAATGAAGCTAGCAAAATTAGGGCTTTTTTTTGTGTCCGTTCATATCAAGGCGAACGTAGCGCGCAAGAGATGCAATGGCAAGAAAATGAGGTCAGCAAAATGAGGTGCTTTCAAGCATAAGCATAGGCCTTTGAAACTGAGATTATTGGGAATACTTTTTGTTTTCGGAATGTTATGGGAGCTGAACCCTGAACCCTGAACCCTGAAAAACCCTGAACCCTGAAAAACCCTAAACCCTGACAAACCCTAAACCCTAAACCCTAAACCCTAAACCCTAAACCCTAAACCCTAAACCCTAAACCCTAAACCCTAAACCCTAAACCCTAAACCCTGAACCCTAAACCCTAAACCCTACACCCCACTCACGGCCGGTTTGGGGTTGAGTGCTCAGGGCTCAGGGTAGTGTCTAAGAATACTAACTTCAGAGTGGGCGGCCAGCAAATCAAGCTTCCAGCTCAGTAGCCCTAAACCTTAAACCCTAAATCCTAAACCCTAAACCCTGCATCCTAAACCCTAAATCCTAAACCCTAAACCCTAAATCCTAAACCCTAATCCCTACATCCTAAACCCTAAACCGGAGAGAGGGGCGACTTTTGTTGCCCAAGGAGCTTTGTAGCAGGATCAGAACCCGAGGAAACGAGGGTATATCTGGGCAAGCTGCATTCCCACCCGACCCAGCGCACAACCCTTGCCACCACGGCCCTGTTTAGGGTTTAGGGTTTAGACAGAGTTTGGGGTTTAAGGTTGAGGGTTGAGGGTTTAGGGTTTAGGGTTTAGGGTTTAGGGTTTAGGATCCCTAAACCCTAAATCCCCTACACCCCTAGACCCCTATACCCTAGGCCTTTCAACCTCAATCTTCTGTCGCAAAGCGGCTGTCCGGTGGGCGGTGTCTCTTTGCTTCCACCTCCTGGTGTCTCTTTGCTGCCTCCGGCTTGGCGCGGATGGCGGCTTTCAGGCCCGAAACCCTAAACCCTAGTAAACCCTACACCCTAAACCCTAAACCCCAAACCCGAAACCCTCTTTGGAGTTTAGGCTTAGGCACCCTCCCGAACACTACGGGCTTCCGGGTTACGTACTTCCCATGGGCCCTCACTCTCAAGGACCCTAAACCCTAAACCCTAGGACCCTATAGAAGCCCCAAAACCCCTTTTGAGGTTCACTTAGGGTTGAAGGTTGAGGGCTTAGGGCTTAGGGTTTAGGGTTTAGAACTTGGGGTTTAGGGTTTAGGGTCTTCCTGCACTGTTAGCCACATGGTGGTGGCTGCTTGTGCCAACCTCAGCCACAAACGCCCAAGCCCGAACTCTCCGCAAAAAAGATTTGGTTTAGGGTTTAGGATTTAAGGGTGGTTTAGCAGGGTGATAAGGTCTGGGCATCCGCTTGAGATCCCAAGCCCAAGTTGCCTTGGAAGGTGCTATAACAAGCCCACAAGAAGAATCTGGTAAACCCGTGAGTGATGAACGAATGGACGAATAAATCTATGACTCTGGTTATTTTGCACGTTGGTGTATGAGGGATGCAAGTCGCATGTCACCAAGACTCGAGTTTTCGCGCACTCACTCGGTTAACTAACCCTCAAGTAATGTTTTGGCTTGCCGGCCTTCGTAAGATGTGGTCATTAGCTATAGGGCCTCATCAGAAGCCACTTTGTGGCACACAGCATAGGGATTCGGCGCCTGAAAAAATCAAGTTTCAACGAAAGGGATCGTGCCTCCCCCCCCCCCCACCCCAAAAACACAAACCAAAAACCCGAACATAAACCCGAACCGAGCGTTTTATCAGGAGTCGCTTGTGGCCTGCCCCCCCCCCCTCATGTCTCAGATTTGGAAGGGTTTGCGATTTGGGGACCAGGATTTAGAGAACCATCATCTATGAAAGCAGAAGAAGACAAGATACATGGTGCTGACAATAGCACAGGGATCGTGCTGAGCCTGCCGTTCTGGCATACGTCCACAAGACTCATACATACCCCAAAACACTCAGAATTCAGGTGAAGCGCGGCATGCAAGAGAAACCTCAAAAGATGGCCCCCTAACCATATAACGCCCCATGTCAAAGTCAGAAAAACCCCCAGAAAGGATAGCAATGTAGCGCTGCCCTCGTCCCTGGCACGCCTCTTGCTGACGCTGCTTCCAGCTGCACGGAGGGCTCGTTCTGAGTGGGAGGGCTTGTACGGCAGGACTCTATTTGGGGGGTTTACGATATTAGGGGTACCAAAAATTGGGGTCTTTAAAAGAGGATCCTGCTATTTGGGGGTCTATATTGGGGCTCCCCTATGTTCCTAAACCCCCATTCTAACCTCACACATGAAATCACCCCTACAAGCCCCCTGCCAAGACCACAAGGCCTCGTTGATACCTTGCACCCGACTTGGGAGCAGCCCCATGTTCTGCCTCCAAACAGGCCTTCGTGATGGTGTACATTCACAAGGTACAACCCCCCACCTTGAACCCCCAAACCCGTAAACCCTAGACCCTAAACCCTAAACCCTAAACCCTAGACCCTAAACCCTAAACCCTAAACCCTAAACCCTAAACCCTAAACCCTGAACCCTAAACCCTAAGCCCTAAACCCTAAACCCTAAACCCTAAACCCTAAACCCTACACCCTAAACCCTAAACCCTAAACCCTAAACCTCTACCCTCAGCCATCAAGCCCAAGCCTAAAACCCGAAGACCCATAAACCTCTGAACCCTTAACAGTCAAACCCCGGGCCCGAAAGCCTCAACCCCAAAGAAGCAGCACGCCCTACCCTGCTCCTCTTTCGGCCCCCGGGCGAGTGGTCAGTGAACCTTAATCCCTCAACCTTTGATCGAAGAAGCCCCATCCCTCGACCCCGGACCCCCGACCCTCAGCCCCCTCCACCCCCTCTACCCTCCACCCTAAGCCTAAACCCTAAACCTATGTAGCCCCTAAACCTTAAACCCTAAACCCCAAACCCCAAACCCTAAACCCCAAACCCTAAACCCCAAACCCTAAATCCCAAAACCCCCCTCCTCATTGAGCCCGCGGGCGCTCGGGGGCTGCAGCTCGGGAGGGCCCTTCGATGGCCCCGATTCCTCCGAGCCCTGGGCAAGGTGTGGTTTGGGGTTTGGGGGGGTTTAGGGTTTAGGGTTTAGGGTTTAGGGTTTGGGGTTTGGGGTTTGGGGTTTGGGGTTTGGGGTTTAGGGTTTAGGGTTTAGGGCTTAGGGTTTAGGGTTTAGGGTTTAGGGTTTGGGGGTTGGGGTGGTTTAGGGTTTCGGGTTTCGGGTTTCGGGTTTAGGGTTTGGGGTTTTGGGGTTTGGGGTTTGGGGTTTGGGGTTTAGGGTTTAGGGTTTAGGGTTTAGGCTTTAGGGTTTAGGGTTTAGGGTTTAGGGTTTGGGGTTTGGGGTTTGGGGTTCTAGGTTAGGCTTTAGGTTTAGGAGTTTAGGGTTAGGTTTGGGGTTGGGGTGGGTGTTGGGGTTTGGGGTGGTGTTTGGGGTTTGGGGTTTGGGGTTTGGGGTTTGGGGTTTGGGGTTTGGGGTTTGGGGTTTGGGGTTTGGGGTTTGGGGTTTGGGGTTTGGGGTTTGGGGTTTATGGCTTGCTCACTGGGCCCGCACCCAAACCTTACTCCACTAGGGATTTGAGGTATTTTACCGTGACAGTTCTCTCCTTGTTTCGGATTTCTTTGTTGCACTCGTTTCTTGATCGCAGAGCGGAGGGCAAGATTCTCCTGTTTCCAAATCGAGAGGGTTGAAATCCTACATCCTAAATTTTCAAAGGGCTGTTAGCCCTTTCAAAGCTGTGAGAAATGCGGTACGGCGCCAAAAGCTAACTTTTCTGGCGCTAAGGAGGGCATTGGCCTCCAACTGCTAGACTGCCGCTACTCAGTTGCAGGCTTCCGTCGCTGGAGGCTGGGCGGGCTCGTGGCGGCTTGCGGCTTAGCCGGTAGCTAATCAGGCCTTGCTCGCAGTTTAGGGCGTCTGCTGTGGCTTGGCCAGAGCTGAGGTTAGGATGCGAGAACGTGAGATGCGAAGGGTGACGTCTGAGGCAGCAAAAGCAGTCCGGCAAGTTGCTTAGGGTTGCGGAGCCGGGTAGCTTGGGATCCAACAGCCAGCGGAGCAGGTTTATAGCACTTCGTCTTATATTCGCGCCATCTTGTTTCGAGTGAAGCTCTGTTCCACTCCACAGGTCGCAAGGGACCAATAGGCTGCGATACTGTATTTGCTTTGGAGGTTCGCGCAAGCTTCAGATCTACCGCAGCCTTGGCTGGTGATGCAGAGGAGCCGTGCCTCTCCGCCGGGTGATGGATGAGACCCCAGGCGTGTCGAACAGAAATGCAGTGCCATGTCACACGGAGCAGGTTGAGCTGGGCAAACGGGATCGTCAGGCACTGAGACAGGCCAACTCCGTCCAGCAGTTTTCGGCAAGTTTCCCTTGGGAGGCGCCGGAGAATGTATTGGCCTAAGTCCTGAGTTTGGAGATTAGGCTTTGGGGGTACAAAACCCTCCACCAAAAACCCTAATGATTAGATACAATCCGAAACTCTAAGCCCTACACTTGCCCTAAACATTTTTCCCTCATCCCAGGCCCCACGGCAACGGTAGGCTCCCCAAAGTAGGGGACCTTTTTGGCACTTGTATCTAGGGCGCCCCCCCCCCCCCCCCCCAAAAAAAAGGGATAGGGACCACAAGGGAACACGATTCTACTAGTTGCTTCAAAACTACCCCAAAACAAAAGACAGTAATCCCTATTATCAGGAAGAACATGTTTTGTGTTTTGTAGTTTTTAAGCAAAAAGTGTAGTATTTAGTAAGACCCCTTTCGTTAGGGAGAATTGTCGCATTCTTCCACTGCAAGTCTCCCTGGGATGGACATCCCCAGCCTACGCCCTGCCTTGCATAGGGTTCCGCCTGCGGACCGATAAAACCCTAAACCCAACACCCTACACCCTACACCCGAAACCCTAAACCCTAAACTAAACCCTAAACCCTAAACCCTAAACCCTAGACCCTAGACCCTAGACCCTAGACCCTAGACCCTGGACCCTAGACCCTAGACCATAGACCCTAGACCCTAGACCCTTTCCTGGACGATTTTCTTAGAACCTAAACCCTAAACCCTAAACGCTAAACGTTCGCAGCGCAGCTGCTGATGACAAGGTCCAAAAAAAGGGAAGTTGCCGAGGGAGGCTTCATGTGGTTCAAGCGCTTAGGGTTTAGGGTTTAGGGTGTAGGGTTTATATAGGGTTTAGGGTTTAGGGTTTAGGGTTTAGGGTTTAGGGTTGATCCCCCTTACACTAGCAGTCCTGAAGAGCTCTATAAAGGACTGTTAGCATAAGACGGAACATCTCAATGGTTCACCCTAGACAGAAGGGACAGAGGTACCGTAGCTGAGACCGCAGCGACCCCATCTCCAAGCATTGTAGACCAATACGATGGATGTCAGACCCGGAACACAAACTCCCAACACCCTCAAACCCTAAACCCTAAACCCTAAACCCCAAACCCTAAACCCTAAACCCTAAACCCTAAACCCTGAACCCTGAACCCTGAACCCTAAAACCCTAAGCCCTAAACTGGAAAGCAAAGTCTCAGGGGGGCCTCGGCCTGACCAGGGATGTCAATGGACGGGGCTGGAGGCGCGCGGTCGGTGAGAGGAGAAAGCTGGAAGTCTTCCTCAGGTGTGGCTCACAGTTCCCTAAACCCTCAACCCTAAACCCTAAACCCTAAACCCTGAACCCTAAAGCCCTCAACCCTAAAGCCCTCAACCCTGAAGTTGTAGGATGCTTTAGGGGATTAGGCCAATAAAACCCAAAACCCCAGAGTTTGAGGCGGGCAGGGCTTCGTGATTCAGGGTTAATCTTGGGGCCGCTTCTAAACTTAAAATGACGAGGGGATTGCTTTCCAAGGCCTCCTGTTTAGGTTGCCTTGAAGATGGGTCCCCTAAACCCTGAACCCTGAACCCTAAACCCTAAAACCTAAACCCTGTACCCTAAACTGAAACCCTAAACCCTAAAACCTAAACCCTAAACCCTAAACCCTAAACCCTAAACCCTAAACCCTAAACCCTAAACCCTAAACCCTAAACCCTAAACCTGAGTGGGAGTTCGGAGCTCCTCTCATGCAACCCGACATGCTGCGCCTGCCAGTCTCTCTGAGGCCCGGGGGTGCCAACCTTCCTGAACCACCCCACCCCCGGTGGTTGGTGGTTGAGGAAAGGTTGAGTGAGATCTGGGTGTAAACCCTAAACCCTAAACCCTAAACCCTAAACTCTAAACCCTCAACCCTCAACCCTCAACCCTCAACCCTCAACCCTCAACCCTCAACCCTCAACCCTCAACCCTAAACCCTAAACCCTAAACCCTAAACCTTAAACCCTAAGTAAGGTCCTAGCTGCCTGAAGAAGGAGGCAGGGTTGTAGCAAGGTCATCCGATTTTGCTGCGAAGGTAGTAAACTCTACTGGCAGTGCTGGGGAGCCATCGTTGTCCGTTGCGTCCTGTGCGCAGTCTTCACCAGTCCTGTCGCTTGCGCTGTTGCCTGTCCCGAAGACGGAGAGCGCCACCGAGTGGTCCATTCCTTTACCACGAAACTCACGGTGCATCGCGAGCAGCGACTCTCTGAGTTCTGCGGGGCCCAAGAGCCCCTTCTCTGCGAGAAATACTGCCGACCGCGCGAATCTGATGTCTTCTCCTGTGGCTGTCTTTGAAGAGTCGTGCACTTCCGCTCAAGTGCCCAGAATGCGCAGACCATGACTTTCTCTGCACCTAATGTGGGTAGTACCACATCGCGGCCTGCCGGCACCTTGATTTGAAGCTTGAGAGGTCCCACAGTGAGATCGAGATCCACCGGAAGTTAGGGTTTAGGGTTTAGGGTTTAGGGTTTAGGGTTTAGGGTTTAGGGTTTAGGGTTTAGGGTTTAGGGTTTAGGGTTTACTCCCCTGGTTCTGTTTCAATGCGGGCAAACGAATGACCAAGGACCTTTGCCTCTGTTGGAAGCTTCCACTTTAGCTCCTCCTCCTTGAGCGGAGCTGTGAACGACTCAAAATTGGCCTTGAGAACATCCACGGCGTCACCAATTTTGCACACCCCTACATGGTTTAGGGTTTAGGGTTGAGGGTTGAGGGTTGAGGGTTGAGGGTTTAGGTTTAGGGTTTACCTTACCAAAGCCCTTAAACCGAATCCAAAAGCCTTAAACCCCTGAAGCCCTACAGCCGCCTACAGGTACACGTCCCAGAAAGAGTTAGGGTTATTAAAGGCGAAAAGTATTAGGGTTTAGGGTTTAGGGTTTCGGGTTTAGGGTTAGGACATAGAGAGTGGGGCTGCAACCCCCCCAGCGCAGGCCTCATCCACATCCTCGGCAGACACCACATCTGTACCTCTCTCAGAGTCCGTTGGCCAAGAAGATGTGGGGGTGTCCGAAAATAGGGTTTAGGGTTTAGGGCTTAGGGCTTAGGGCTTAGGGCTTAGGGCTTAGGGCTTAGGGCTTAGGGCTTAGGGCTTAGGGCTTAGGGCTTAGGGCTTAGGGCTTAGGGTTTAGGACCCTTTTTGGGGTCCCTATTATCAGGGAATCCTAGTATTTGGGGACTGTAAGAGGGGTCCCTCATTGTCGTAAACCCCCATTCTGGTTGATAGGTCTTAAAGGCCCTTCTTTGGTTAAGCAGCCGATCCTAAACCATAGGATTTAGGATTTAGGGTTCCAGGTTTAGGGTTTTAGGGTTTTAGGGTTTTAGGGTTTTAGGGTTTTAGGGTTTTAGGGTTTTAGGGTTTTAGGGTTTTAGGGTTTTAGGGTTTTAGGGTTTTAGGGTTTTGAGGGTTTTGAGGGTTTTTAGGGTTTTAGCGTTTAGGGTTTAGGGTTGAGGGTTTGAGGGTTTGAGGGTTTAGGGCTTCGGGTTTAGGGTTTAGGGTTTAGGGTTTAGGGTTTAGGCTTTAGGGTTTAGGGTTTAGGGTTTAGGGTTCAGGGTTTAGGTTTAGGGTTGAGGGCCACATACCCACTCACCCACGCGCAACCGAGCTTTCACGTCGACACCCTCCCAAGATGCGAACCTCCCTAAACCCAAAACCCAAAACCCAAAACCCAAAACCCTAAACCCTAAACTTGGGATGCTCCCCCCATTATACTAACAGTCCTGAGTAAGGATGATACTTGGGGATACTCTAGTCCCCATTAAGGAGTGTTAGTAGAGGGGGGAACATCCCGACCCTTAATCCCAAACCCCTCAACCCGAAACCCCTAAAAACCTCAACCATAAACCCTAAACCCTCAACCCTAAACCCCCAACCCTGAACCCTAAACCCTCAACCCTCAACCCCTTATGAAGCACAACCAACAGCAGAGCGGTCACCGGCATCCGATGCTGGTACCTGGAGAAAGCTGGGCTGTTTCTCGGGGACTTCAGCCTGTTGGGTCTTCAGGGTACAAGGTTCCCCCACCCCTAAACCCTAAATCGTACACTCGAAACCCTAAACCCTAAAACTATGGAGGAAGAGGCTAAAGGAAGGACACCTGAGGTTCGGCTCCCTACTCGCTTTCCTCATCCTCTAGTTAGGTTTAGGGTTTGGGGTTTAGGGCTTACGGTCTTGGGGTTATTGGGTTTGGGGTAATCACACCCTCTGCCCCCCCACCCCCCCCCCCTGCTGTGAAATCTCGAGGTGGGACGCAAGAAATATCGTGCCTTTTGAGCTTTCTGATGTCATTGGGGAGAGATCAAACACCCCCCCTCCCTTACCCCCCCCCCCCTCCCTCCCCCCAACCCCCAAGGTTCAACAACATCCAGCGAAAGCTAGCAAGAAGCAGGAGCCACACCACATTCTGGCTAGAATCTCAACCTGGAAAGTTGGGGTCTTGGTCTTTCGTCAGCCCTGCACCCTGAAGCCCTGCACCCTCACTTTACCAGATATATTAGTAATTACACTGAGTAGGTCTTCCAATACAATCACCAAATTACAAAATACCGTCACATTTGATACAACGATTGACATGCGAAATTCACAGATACTCAAGAATTTAAAGGTGATTCACGCGATTCTGAAATATTTACATATCAATTACAAGCAGTTATTTGCAATAACTTAAAAAACGGAACCAATAATCCAAAATAGCGATAAACGGTTGAGAGAGCAAACGCACACCACAGTTTTTGGACATGCAGCATAAATCTAACATACCTGTCTTATTGTCAAAGGTTTCTGTAATATTCATGGACATCAACACTATTTGGAGCCAAAAAACGAATTAAATGTTTTTCAAGTTCAAGACTGTCGATTGTATTCAATCACTCAAATCATTTATATAAGGAAATGCTTCTATTTGACGCAAGTGTAAGGTTCTTTGACCAATGAATTTTTAATTTTAAACAGAATGAAACAGGAAATGTGAATCACATTGATCACAATTGGGGCGTATTTAGGAGGAGTTGCTTCATCGGGAGATATGAATTGTGCATTGAGCCATGGATTTGAGTTGGTTGCAAGGAGTAGAACTTTATAAGAAAACCAGATTTTTGAGAAACCTCAGATCCTAAACCCCAAGACGCCCAGAACCCAAAAAACCCAAACCTCAACCACGACACCCTAAACCCTAAACCCTAAACCCTAAACCCTAACATCAAAACCCCAAAACCCCAAACCCCAAATCCCAAACCCCAAACCCCAAACCCCAAACCCTAAACCCTAAACCTCCACCCTCATCCCGCGCCCTGCCCTCAAAAACCCGAAACGCCACACCCCATCAGCTCTCCCCTTCCCTGGGCGCCGCAAGCCGTGCTATGCCGTCAGTGTGCGGCTGCCTGGCCAAGAAGGAGTTAGGGTTTAAGGTTTAGGGTTTAGGGTTTAGGGTTTAGGGTTTAGGGTTAGGGTTTAGGGTTTAGGGTTTAGGGTTTAGGGTTTAGGGTTTAGGGGGTTTAGGGTTTAGGGTTTAGGGTTTAGGGTTTAGGGTTTAGGGTTTAGGGTTTAGGGTTTAGGGTTTAGGGTTTAGGGTTTAGGGTTTAGGGCTTGACCCGAAGCCGCCATGGCTTAGTCCTTCAGACGTTTAGGCTAGAAGTGCTTGACCCTAAGCTCTTTACCCTACATTTCTACGGGTTGTACCTACTAATTGAGGGTAGTTTCTACGAAACTCTAGGTATAAATAGCGCCGCAGGTATAAGCCCTAAACCCTAAACCGTAGACCCTTGAGGATATGGGGAGGACGACCTTGATTATGATGTAGGCGCAGGGCCTATTCTTGGCTCCCCTACACTCTGCAGAAGGGGCACCACAAACCCCAAAAGAGCCCAACATGAAACCCTGAACCCTGAACCCTGAACCCTAAACCCTAAACCTTAAACCCTAAACCCTAAACCCCGGATCAGTTTTTGCTGGATGAGGGCATCGGGCGTGTTGAGTGATATGGGGTCTGAAGGTCTCGGGACTTAGTGGGTGTCTTGGATTCGCGTTTCCGGCTTGGGGTCATAGGCACAAAGGGTTTAGGGTTTAGGGTTTAGGGTTTAGGGTTTAGGGTTTAGGGTTTAGGGTTTAGGGTTTCGGGTTCCAGCACTTCGGACTTGAATTGGGCTTGGGCAGGATTCCTAACAGAGAATCGGACAGGAGAGTATTTGACGGTCTGAAATGTGAAGTGTTGGACCTCAATCAAAATCCCTACCCTGCATATGGGCCGTACTCTGAAGGAGGTCTTTTTGGGGGGTCCCTTTTTGTGCGTCACCTTATAATAAAAGGACTTCCCAAGGAATCCTGAACGTCAATGAGGGGCGGTTGCTTGGGTTTCTTCCGCTCGCTGAGTTGCGCAAGCTGGCCCAGAGTCAGGTCCTCACTGATCCTCTCCCCATGTAATCCTGCTTTGCTTCCCATTGCGCCCAAACCTGAAGCGCAGCCGCGTCCAGCAGAGCAATGACAGGCTCCCCACTTCCATCGAACGAGTAGTCCCTGGCTTGAGTGGTCACCGCATCCGGTGTCAATGCAATGTCAGACAGCACTCTCAAAGCCTTCAAGACCTGTTGCAGCCCACCAGCAATATGCAAGCGAGCACATCGGGCCAAAACATCCCCCCCCCCCCTCCTTCCCCCTCCCCCCCCCCCACCCCCTCCCCCCCCCCCCCGTCCTCCCCCCTCCCCCCCCTCCCCCCCTACCCCCCTACCCCCGGTTTGGTCTGAGCAAGGGGGTGAAGCCAAGATTCTTCTTCTAGGTTAGGGGTGCCCCTAAACCTGAAACCCTAGACCCTAAACCCTAAACCCTAAAACCTAAACCCTAAACCTAAACCCTAGACCCTAAACGCTAAACCCTACACCCTGAACGAGTCCCCAATCTAGAGGACTACGTCGCCTTCCCGCCCGGGCATCCCCCTGGCCTGGGTTGGGCCCAAATCCTTGGACGAACTTTGTTGATGGCTTAGGGTTTCGGGTTTAGGGCTTAGGGTTTTGGGTTTAGGGCTTAGGGTTTTGGGTTTAGGGTTTAGGGCTTAGGGTTTAGGGTTTAGGGTTTAGGGTTCAGGGTTCAGGGTTCAGGGTTCAGGGTTCAGGGTTCAGGGTTCAGGGTTCAGGGTTCGGTTTTAGGGTTTAGGGTTTAGGGTTTAGGGTTTAGGGTTTAGGGTTTAGGGTTTAGGGTTTAGGGTTTAGGGTTTAGGGTTTAGGGTTTAGGGTTTAGGGTTTAGGGTTTAGGGTTTAGGGTTTAGGGTTTAGGGTTTAGGGTTTAGGGTTTAGGGCTTCGGGCTTCGGGCTGAGGGTTTAGGGCTTTAGGGTTTGGGGCTTAGGGTTTTTAGGGCTTTGGGCTTTTAGGGTTTGGGTCTCTTTCGGCTTTAGGGCTTTTGGGATTCAGGGCTTTAGGGCTGCAGGTTTGAGAGTTTTTGCGCTTAGGATTTCATGGCTATCGGGCTTGGTTCATACAACGTGATGCAAAACAATGTTTGGCAACTCTGGAACAAGACGCGCTGTCAGAAGCGTTTTGTGAAAATGTCCGCAACACTGGACAGTTTCGCGCTTTGCCTTGTAAAAAACGAATTGTTGTTTCTGCAACCAGACGCAGTGTCAAACGTGTTCATGCCGCTTGCGAACATGCACAAAGCAGCTATCTGCTTCGTTTTTGCTTCTTTCGCCCCATAATTAAGGCTATTTAGGGATAATCAAGGCTGATTAAGGTTATCTAAGGGGGAAACCTGGAGGGGGGGGGGTATACTACCCGCCTATATATATTACCCCCTAGTTTCCTCCAATAAAAACCCCCCACAAGCTGCTTGGTGAAATGACCTAAGCCCCTAAGCCCCTAAGCCCCTAAGCCCCTAAGCCCCTAAGCCCCTAAGCCCCTAAGCCCCTAAGCCCCTAAGCCCCTAAGCCCCTGAGCCCCTGAGCCCCTGAGCCCTAAGCCCCACGCCCTAAGAAGCCCCTAAGCCCCTAAGCCCTAAGCCCCTCAGCCCCAAGCCCTAAGAAGCCCTAAACCCTAAACCCCGAACCCTAAACCTTGCACCCGAGGCGCGGCTTCACCTCCACCATGGCGTTCGCCATTTCGTGGAGTACGGCAGGGCTACCGGGAGGTTCAAGGGGACGACTGGGAGGTTTAGGGTTTAGGGCTAGGGTTTAGGGTTTAGGGTTTAGGGTCTATGTTTTTGTTTGGGCGGGCGAGGGGGGGGGGGGGAGCTTAGAGGCTTCAGGTTTGGGCTTATGAGGCTCTGGGGTCACGGGAGGTGTATTGCTTCAACGTGCCCCTCAAGCCCCAAGCCCAACGGATGGAATTGTCTAGGGTTTAGGGTTTAGGGTTTGGGGTTTGGGGTTTAGGGTTTAGGGTTTAGGGTGTTTGGAGAGTTTAAGGTGCACAGGCCCTTTTGAACGCCCTCAAACCCTCAGCCCGCAAAAAAAAAAAGCCAGATCCTGCGCCAGGAGGGCGGCAGTAGAAGCCGCTGCGCTTTGGGGTTGAGGGTTGAGGATTCGAGTTTAGGGTTTAGGGTTTAGGGTTTAGGGTTTAGGGTTTAGGGTTTAGGGTTTAGGGTTTAGGGTTTAGGGTTTGGGTTTGGGGTTTAGGGTTTAGGGCTTTGGACTGCTAGGGCCCCCGCCCCCCCCCATCGACAGCATCCTACAGACCCAATGCTGACCACCATTTTGCTCCACGATGTCCTTTTGCCTCCACAAACTCTTGTGTTAGGGTGCTTCGTGTAGGAGGGCCTGACCAAAGTGATGAAGCCAAAGACCTGAACCTTTTCGTTTTGGGTTTAGGGTTGAGGGTTGAGGGTTGAGGGTTGAGGGTTGAGGGTTGAGGGTTGAGGGTTGAGGGTTGAGGGTTGAGGGTTTTTAGGGTTTAGGGTTTAGGGTTTAGGGCTTAAGGTTTAGGGTTTAGGGTTTAGGGTTGAGGGTTGAGGGTTACCGCCCTGGAGCCTAAACCACCTAGAGCATCAACCTCCAAACTTGAAGTCGCACTTTGTGGATTCAGTTTAGGGTTCAGAACCATGTCAGTTTGAAATGCAGATGGTCATTCCTTACAAGAGATGGTCATTCCTTACGAGGCGTCCTGTGATATTAAGGGTACCCCAAAAAAGGGACCATAATTCCGAGGACCCTCCGTATGAAAAACAGGGCGGTTGTATTGATTAGCTGGGCTGTCCATTGTGGCATATCTGGGAAGGATGACTTGACTAAACCCTAAACCCTAAACCCTAAACCCTAAACCCTAAACCCTAAACCCTAGACCCTAAACCCTAAACCCTACACCCTAGACCCTAAACCCTAAACCCTAAATCCTAAACAGCGTTAGAACTCAGGGGTGTCGATCGAGGCTAGGAATGAATGCCGGCACTCTTGTTTAAGGCAAGGGTGGAAGAAGAAGCCGCTACAGCTGCAACCTCTTGAGGTCAAGAAGGGAGTTTCGGGCCCGGTTTAGGGTTTAGGGTTTTTGGGCTTAGGGTTTAGGGGGTCCAGAGAACTTGACAAGCCTCGGGGGCTGGAAGAGTAGGAGCTGTAGGGTTTAGTTGATGGGGTTTGGGGCCCGAAACCCCAAACCCCAAAAACAAACCCTACATCCCAACTCTTGTTAGGGGCTTATGGGGCTTGAGGGGGTTGAAGCTTTGGGCTACACCTTAGGGGGTTTATGGTTTAGGGTTTATAACTAGGATGGCCCTTCAAACCCTCTGAAAAATATTCCTAAATATGGTCCTCTTAAACCCAATAAGGGAAAATATAAAATATCCCAAGGGCCTACCTAGATAAGGTTTAGGGTTCGCGGTATAGGGTTCACGGTTTAGGGTTTAACCCGAAGGCCCGAAGCCTGCTTTTTGCATCCGCATCCGCACTTGGGGTCTTTGTGCTGGGTTCTTGTTCTGCGGACCTTGAGCTACCATGGTGTTGCGTAATACGGGTTTGCCGATCGAACCCTAAACCCTAGACCCTAGACCCTAGACCCTAGACCCTAGACCCTAAACCCTAAACCCTAAACCCTAAACCCTAAACCCTAAACCCTAAACCCTAAACCCTAAACCCTAAACCCTGAACCCTACTACGGTATCTGAATTAAGGTTCCTTGACAAGAGCCCAGAGGCGCCATGGGGTTTTGGGGGGCGGCCGTCTTCTGGGCAGCTCCTGGGGCGGGGGTGGGGGCGGGGGATCACGACAAAAGCACGCTTGACAGCAACCTAAGGCCCCGAGTCCCTAAACTTTAACTGCTCCCTGGAACCCAAGTTCACATGTCCCAAAGCTCTAAACCGTGACACCCCTAAACCCTAAAACCCCAAAGTTTTTGTGGTATCTTATTGAAAGAAAACATCTGAAGTTAGCGATGTGCAACAGAAGTCGACTCCTGAACGCAAGCCCAAGGGTTGGGAGGCACCCCTTCAGGGCCTAGGGTTTAGGGTTTAGGGTTTAGGGTTTAGGGTTTAGGGTTTAGGGTTTAGGGTTTAGGGTTTAGGGTTTAGGGTTTAGGGTTTAGGGTTTAGGGTTTAGGGTTTAGGGTTTAGGGCCTAGGGTTGAGGGTTTCAGAGCATGTCTAAGAGCTTTATGGTCTGGGTTTGTTGGGGGGGTT